GTGGTGGTGGTGGTGGTGGAAGTGGAGCGGGAGTAATCAGATTAAGGAGGAATCAGTGAAGTTCGCACAAGTTGCGAGACAAAAAAAAGATGACGATGAAGTTCGAGATTACGGGTGCTTCACAATGAATGCTAACCACGTGAGAAGAGGGGCGAGATTGCAGTGAAGAATTGTCAGCAAGGGATTAATTGGCAGAGAAGTCAGCCTGCGCAGATGAGCTTAAGGTAGAACGAACGACTTTCTGAATTGAGTTGGCGGGAAGAGAGAGAGAGGGGTATATGCGCAAGACCAAGACGCAAGAAAGGCTTGGCCAGTCGGAGAAGTGTGAGAGGGAGGGGGTTAACCTATAGATCTCTGTCTCGATCCAAGACCTTCCGCAGCTGGATGAAGAGGTCCCTGGTTTAACACTGGAGAGATAGGGGAAGGGCAGCAGGAGAGCTGAGAAAACAGGGAGCAATGAGGTAGAGAGGGGTGATTAGAAGTAAGTGGAAGAAGAGAGAGAGAGGGAGGGAGGGAGGGAGAGGTAGAGACGACCGAAAGATGTGACTAAAGGTAGACTAATCGGGATGTAGGGTTAGGAAGGAATGATTGAAGAGAAAACAAATCAAGCTGACAAGAGAAAGAGAGTAGAGAAAGCAAAGAGGCGAGGTTAACAGAGGAGAAATATTGGTTGATAAAAATGAAGCAGCGGAGACCGTGATCCCTGTCGCCGGAGAACAACAACCGCGGTTTAGTCTGTTTAAGATTGGTTGATGACTTCGGTGCAAGCTGTGGTGCACTAGCTATAAAACGACGAGTCCCTAGGGGAAGGGGAGGGGAGCGTAGGGGGAGAAGGGGAGAGGGGGGTGATGGTGGTGGTGGTGGTGGAGGGGAATATGGTTTAGGAAGGGAAAAGATACGAGAGGGAAAAGAGGAGAGAGGAAATGTGGGAGGTTAAGCAAACAGAAGTCGGACGTGGCGTTGTGACTACGGAGTACTAACTATGTAATATAAGTTAAGTAAGTATTGAGTAGTAAAAAGTGTGCCAATTGCCTACCTATGTACATACTGTACAGTTACTTTATCAGGCAGGTATCATAAGAGGCCCGGGGGAAGAAGAGAAACTGTGCAAGGTGACTTGACCACGGAGTACAATACATTACAGTACACTACAGTCCTCTGCTAGCAGTCTGCAGTCTGCATGCAGCCACTTTCGGCTTGCCAGTACAATACATTACCATACAATATCCCTCTAATAATCCGTCTCCTGTGAAAGGATTGTTGACTGTTTTAACCTATTATCTATTCACGCAGTAGTTATCGAGATGTCTCCTACTCTCATAGCATAGCAATAGTACAATTGCTAGATGCCAACGCTGCGCTTCAATCATACTCTCATGGAAGATTCTAAATTGTATAAGTCTCTTATTGCCTCAAATCCAAGCATCCCCCTGGCTCTTGTTACACATTTGAGCTGAGAAATGGAACAAACCAGCTACAACAGCAATCGCTCACTCAGACATGATAGACTCGAGATTCCAAGACTTCACTCTTGGCTTGCACTTAGACCACAAGTATGTTTGAACTCAGTCCGGTTGCTAAGAATCTTTCCTTTCCTGATACAGGCCGATTAGACAGCCCGAGGCTTCCCTACAGAGTTCAAGGTTCCAACCCATCGTATAGATGTTCTCCTCAGTCGGATCATCATTGCTTTGACCGATTGATACTCCCATCGGTGCCTGCGCCAATGATCTGAACATTGCTTCCATGTGTTAACCCCTGCCCCCACCGCGATTTCTTTCTTTTCTGAGCGCATTGCAAGCCTCCCCAGTACCCAGTATGCAGAATGTATGAACCATGCAGTCAGTAAGTATTCTTCCGGAGGATTTCGGGTAGACACGAAGTGGGTGCTCAACGGCACTAGTAACTTCATAGCTGCCCCCCACACACAGAGAAAAGACGTGGTATCGGTGGTATTAGACTACACCCGGTCGGTCAGGAATCGCATTCCAGACTCATGTGTCTTGCCTCAAGCCTGATGTGGTATCACCCGTGCTTCAGGACGTTTTGTCACACCCTCTAGATCGCACAGGGTCAATTGACCTGGTGGCAAGCAAGAGATTCGGGATGTGTCTCAGGTTTGGATGGATGCCTTCAAGTATACAGCAATTACGGGCTATCGTCTGGATCAACCGATGCAAAACAGGCGAGGATCCATCCGTCCCGCGCAGCAGGGAGATTTTCACTGTTGGCGATGTCCTTAGAAATCATTGTTCCACACAAGTGCTACGGGGAGAAGGGTAGAATATTCCGCGGCCCCGTAGAAGGAGACTAAAACCCATCTTCCTGATTATCGGAATTTCCAAAGCGTAACTTTCCCGGTCCCAGAATAATCCAGCCTCCAAGAAAGTCGCAATCGTGCCAGAATTTTCTCTGGTAGCAAAAGCGACATGAAACGATGAGGAGGTGAGGACAAGAAAGGAAACTAGATAGAGTGTAACAGGATACCATCCCACTTCTCATCCTGCCGCTGCTGCTGCCATACCATATGTATCTACGCACTTCCCTTTGCCTATCTCCTGAGTACTGAGGAGAGCCGAAGCTCAGCAGCAGTTTTTCTAAGTATATGACGTCTAGGCGAAGTTGACGAACCCTCTGCCAGTCCAGTCTAGTTTGGGCCTCCCGAGGAAAAGGATAATCCGTGATAGCTAAGCAGCCCGGTGGGTCCCAATTAACCCCTATTATCACATCGGTACTCGGTACACGGAAGGTACTCCAACCTGATGAGCTTCCAGAAAAATAATTGAATTGCTTCTGGAAGGCACTAGGCTTTTATCACCTCAATTTACCGCGTCTCCTGCTACTATCTATGAATCGACTCCTAACAGGGATTTTACGTACCAGCGATAACTTGAGGCGCAGCCGGAACATAGGAACAGATGTCGGGCCGAGCCATAGTGTGAGAACGGGAGGTTCTTGTTCCAGTTCCGGTAACCCAACCAGTCTGACTGACTGACTGACTGATTGGCAACTCTGCTGGAATGGAGGATGAATGTTCAAAAGGGGAGGCAGATGAGCCTAGGATTTGGATCGGCGGCTAGGCCGACAAGCAGCGTTGGTTGAGGGAAGACACGATTGGCAGAAAGAGTTCCTTCCTTCCACCTAATGCTTATCAAGCAGTTAGCCTGGGCTCTTGCCAATGGTGAACCTGAATAACGGTCCAATTTAATATTAATATGAACCAGCATACAGCGGCGTTTCCTGGCGAGGTTCACCACAGCTCTTCCGCCTATCTAATTTCCCAGCCCCGGCTTTCATCCCACGTGGAATGCTACTAGCTCTCGGAGACTGCACCGCAGCAATCCGTGGTCCCGAATCAGTTAGGTCACTTTACTGTCGATACGTAGTTGATAATTAGTATGTGTCCTTTCCCAAATAAACTGACTCGGTCCTCTTCGACAGCAGATTTCGAGAGCACTAATTCTCAATAGGCAGCTACCATGGTCATCCATGATCACCAGCCATGATAAATCATGCTGCATCATTCATCAACCATCATGTCATCGTTAGGGGAGGATCGAGGGTCTAAGATCAACGAAGCTTACGGGAAACGGGAACAAGCAAGGACTTACTTTTGAAAGCAAAAAATCACTGGGTGAACAAATAGGCCGGTCTGTGATAACTACATGCACCTAGTTATAAGTTACTGACCCTAGACATAAGTCATCGTCTTTTCATACTGATTGTTGTACCTTGATTACCTTGATAGATATAGTTGCACCCCGCCGTCGTAATATGCAGCTAAGAAAGTTAGGAACATACTACATAATCATATGCAGGGTGGGTGGATAAAAAATATCATGGATACGGAGAACGGGATCAGGGGCCGGCGTCCCACCGCTATGGGACGGTCGCTGACTTGCGGCAACCACCCCTGCCCACTCGAGCACATGGCCATTCCCCGTGCACCTTGACAGTTGGTTACCAGTTGTTACGACTTGTTACCACTCCGTTACACTCTGTATGGTAAGAGCAGATCTCGTAAAAGTGACGAAGGCAAATTAGACATGACGTGGATAGTCAACACAGAAGATGCAACCAAAAAGCACGGTGGTAGTTACTTCCTATGATCGCATCAGGGGAGGGGAGAAGGGGTGAGGAGGAGGAGATACCTAGAATGCCAAGTCTCCCATGGATACAACGACATCAATTGATCCTTGGCTGTCCGGTCGTATACGTAACCTGGCTTGCAGCATGAGATGAGATGACGCTGGGTGGAAAAATGAGGAGAGTAGAGTTAAGTATGAGTACAGTATAAAGAAGAAGATCGTGGATCTTTCCCGTTCCACTTGCCTTACGCTACGTGCCTACGTTGATCACTACCTAGTACCTAGTACTTAGTTACCTACTGACCCCCTGGATGCCACCCGATGCACTCGAGGCACCCAACCAGTGCACCGACCTCACGTGCGTTTCAGTTAAGTTCCATGGCTTCTCGGATGTCTGGCCGCCATCGGAACCGGACATCCAATGAAAACAAAATCCACTGAGTTATCTGTCCGAGTATAATCCAACCCGTGACTCTGAAACAATTAGGTACCACACTGCGATCTACTAGCCAGGAGTGCTCGAACGCTGCCAGTGACTCTGTCTAACTTCTAACCTGTTCGACCTGAACCGACCTTTCAGCCAGCGTGAACCCTGTTTGCAGCCCGAGCCCCGGATATCACCCTGCTCATCTAAGAGAGGAGGCACGACGATCCTCGCAACCTATTGTCCCTGCATCGAGATCATACAAATGTGAATTACTGCCCTGTCTCCGTGACACTGGCGTTGACTTAGGATAGCATGTCAGGGCCTCTATAGCTGTGAAACAGTATGGCGAGTGGGGTCTCTTAGAAATAAAACCCTTTCATGAGAAGGTATGCATGGGATAAGAGTGCGTTAGTCACATGGAGATCGCCTGATCGCCCCATCTAGCACTGATTAGTCTCCGCGCTTTGCATGACTCCCCTCAGCCATTATAGGCTCGCAGGCAGGATGTCTGGAGCCGGGCCTGCTGGTATGATCGTCTGCAGGCTGCCCAATCGCTTCCCTAAAGACTTCAGGTACCCGAATTTATACTATCGGATGGCATTAGTGATAGTCCTATTTTGATGTATGGATGCCCGACTCACAATTTCGAAGAATGTAGTCTTCTTGAATGCTCCGCCTTGGGTGCGTGAGGTCTCATCATAATACAAACCTCTATACCAGCGGTCAATCAACGGGTAGTCATGCCTGATCATCTTGAGATTGCACCGAAAGATCAAATAGTAAGCCACATCGAATCGAGCAATGGTCGGATACAATCGGATGTCTGCTTCCGTGATCTCTTTCCCAAAAAGATATGGCTGATGCCCTGGCTGGGCCAGATGGTCTTCAATCCGATCCAGTGCTTCGAAAAGCGGGTATAGGTTGTCTAGATAGGCCTCCTGCGTCGTGGCAAATCCAGTTTTGTACACTCCGTTATTGATTTTGTCGTAAGTCCATGAGTTCATTGCATCGATCTCAGCTCTCAAGTGTGGCGGGTAGAAACTTCCACCAAGCCGGGTCTCTCGCAGCTCATGTGGAAGTAGGTTGTCGAACTCGGAATAGAACATGCGGACAATCTCGCCACTCTCATTGTTGACAATTGTCTCTTTTTTCTTGTCCCATAGCATTGGGACTGTGTATCGGCCTTCATACTTGGGATCTGCCTTGAAGTAAAATTGGCTTAATCTCTCGAAGCCATACAAAGGATCCACCGGCGCAGACCCATATCTACCAGAGAAGAACCAACCGTCCGGTCCCAACTCGGGATCGAGAACAACTAGCTGGACTATATCATCTAGACCTTTGAGTGATCGGACTAAATTAGTCCGGTGTGCCCAGGGACACCCAAAGTTGATGTATAACACATAACGATCCTTCTGCGCCGGAAATTCTGCGTTAGGATCACGCGAGATAGAGGAGCGAAACGCAGCTGGTTTGCGCCTGAAGTGGCCGTCCGCATCGGCATGAGAGTGTACGCCCGATTTCTAATAAGTCAATAATGATCGCTCATCGAAAACAGGTAATTCGACAACAGGTAATGCAAACCTCCATACCTGCTCAGACATTGTGATAACACCGAATTGTCAAAGATTGCGATCGACCATCACGATCACTGCATCAGAACCGTCCGGTCATCTTGAAACTAAATAGCCTGGCTGCTCGAAGACATCGGGGCTGGTTACGAACCTGTGCTGACCGCTGACAAATCGACGCGATGTTGTCATTCCTGCAACCCCGCATGAATTACATGACTGGGCCTGCGCTGATAGACCAAGAGCTACTTGACTGGTCGAGAATCAATGCTACAGCATGCGGTCAGAGTTGCGAAGCGATAGTGTTGCGTTTGTGAGTACATTGATGAATGTGTAAATATTGAGTGCCTGCGATGCCAGAGGTGTCATGATACACTGAGTCCATGTCGGAGCCGACTGAGCCTGTGGGGCCGTATTGTATACAATCTGTCCTACTACAACTCTGAAGCACGAAGACCAAGAGAAGCCCACCTTTCCTATTGACATGTAGTCGCTATGTCAAGGTTCCTCATGAATGCCTAGTCGCCGGGCGACCTCGATCAATCCATCCGTGGCACCATCGATCCACTCGTCCACATACTGCTCTTTGGCTTGAGCAATCTCTTGAGGACTGAGACTCTCCTCATTTCGTTCCACATAAATGGTCGCAAATCCTAGGGCCTTGGCGGCTTTCAGATCATAAAGGTGTGCAGCCACCATTGCACAATTGCGGGGATCCAGTCCAAAGCGCTTTGCTGCGCCAGTGTACACCTGCGGCGACGGCTTATATGCCCCAAAGTGTTGAGCACTGACAATATCCGTGAAGGGCAGAGATCCATGGCGTTGGAGGTCCTTCAAGAGACAGACATTGCCATTGGACAAAGTGCAGGTCCGGAAACGGCGGTTGAGCAATTCAAGGCCCTTGACTGAATCAGGCCACGGCTCGAGTTGGTGCCAGGTAAGAACAAGCTTCCATAGTTCATTCTCGGTGAACAGTCCTTTCAAGTTCTGCTCGTGGAGCAGCTTCTGGATGGAGTGGAAATGGTGTTCATCAACAGAGATAAAAGCTTGGGTTGAGTCAAAGGTTCTTGTGAATCGGCCGTAGGACGCCCTCCATTCTTCCACCAACTCCTGCCAGTCGTTGGGGGACATGGCCGTCGCGCGGGCACGCAGAGCGGACGAGAGTGTTTTCTTGGGGTCTCGCAATGCGCGCTCAGCAGCTTCCCTCAGAGAGCTGGCGACACAATTACGCCATTCTACAACCGTTCCAAAGACATCGAAAAACAGCACTTTGAGAATTGATGTGTTTGCCATCAGAGCGTGGTTGAGTTCCCGTAGCGATGAGTTTTCTAATATCTGTTTCTCACTCGCGTTCTGTGCTCAGTTTAGTGTTATCTGAAGCTACTCGGTCCGCGTGCGATTAATGAGAGCGAGCTTGAGCGCAATTCATCGACGTTCCAGATCGTGGTTGTCGAGTCAAGGATAAGACGTGGCGGGGTAAGCTGGTTATAGTCCATAGCAAACTTTAGTTAACTTAGGTGATGAGTAATGACAAATGACCTGCCTTGAGTTGATTAGTACTCCATAGTTGGTCACTCCATACTCCCACAGAAACATCGGGTCAAATAGGAAACTCACCAAGGGGGCAATAAGATGAATCTCGTTTGATGACTAGAATGATAATCATGTGAGGGCCATCACATCTGATCATTAGCGTGCCAAGACCTACTGCATTCAGGCCGAAGGTCGGTCGGGATGGCTTTCCAAGCTTTAAAACGAGTTATTATTGCATGGTCAAGTGAAGAAAGAGAGGGGAGGAGAAGGAGGCAGGCTTCTTGTATTAGTCATCTTCTATTTGGTGATTGTGACAGCTGCAGCTGCAACCCAATGATCGCCGCGTTCAACGGCGCAATCCCAGTTCGTTGTTTGACCCAGACATCCTCGCTTTCCTTTGACAACTTCGAGGTCAGCATTGCAGTGGGTGGGCAGTTATTCCAATGCTGACTGACAACCCTCAGCATCCGAGACACTTCTTTCCGTGCACGGTTGACCTGTCAGTTCCAAGTCGCGCGCTTTTGCCCCTGAGCCGGCGTCCGCCAGGCGCAAAGGCTAGTCGTTTTGCCGCGTGGGTCGCCAAGGATAAAGCCAGTCTGGATGATTTATGGTACAGTACGTACTGTACCTGAGTTACTATGTAGCTGCGAGTCTTGCGACAGACTACTTATTCTCCACGTTCATCTATTTCAAGATCCAGGCTAACTGACGGCCGATAGTCATGCTATAAGCAAGTTCTCTAATTCCACAACCTGTCTAGTGCACATCATCATAGCCCTTCGATGACGATCGAATGCGAACGGACGCATTGCTTGACAGGAAACTTCCACCTTGAAGGGCCCAGCGAAACCTCCCGTCCCCGTACCAATCGCCCGCCAAGGTCATAATTCACTATGATATTAATATCGACCCGCGAGTCCGAGATTTGCGCTGCCTGACAGATTCGTGAAACTCAGCCCATGTTCATGCGCATACGAGCAGTCAAAGGGAAAACTACACCGGCGATTCGACCACCAAGGCTAAGCAAGGGCTTGTCGCTGCTCCGCCTCTAATTTCCGGAATGGGGTCACTTCTCAAAAGTTGAGCGCCGGCCCGTCCGTCGCCTTTGGTGTCTATTCCTGAACTAGGGAACGGCGAAAAAAAAAGGGGTGGGGAGCTCGAGCTGGGCCGACTCAACATCCAAGGATCCTTCCCGGCTGGTTTTCTATGCTCGTTGTTTTCCTCAGACCTTGCTCGATCCTCCAGGATACTTCCAACTCCGACATCAATTGAGAAGCACGAGGCACGCTGCCCCAGCATAATGCTCATCGAAACGCGCTCAACCGGGCCACCAGCGTAAGTCGATCTATCCACCTCCTAAAATATGGCGCGAGTCTATTTGTAGGCCGGGCTCCTTCATATCTACTCATAGGGCTAGTTAGAGGGATACCGGACTTGGCCATTTTAATATTGGTGTTCACAACACGGGCCACGGATTTTCGATGATCAACTCGAGGGTAGACGCAATATTGAGAGCGTTTCCGATGATGAATTACTAAGTCACTACTGTAACTAGAGATTACTGAGAGGCGAACGACAACGCTGCTTGCTCTCTTGCACGTTGACATCTGGTAAGCCTTCAGAACGCTATGCGCAAACGGATTACCATTGTTCACCTACCTTGACCGGGTCAAGATGACAATAGTTTGCTCAACCTGGTCAACAACGAAGAAGGGCTGGAATACAATCATCCTAAAGTTATGATGCTCGGAAAGGATACACACTCAATACGCCCGCGTAGAGTGCCAAAAGCCCAATTGTCTCAAAATCAGCGGGTCCCGGACTAACTTGACTAAACTATCTCCGGAGTAGTACGGAGTAGTGTATCTAGCTCCACGACTAACTAACTGCCTAGCGCTTGACACGAACCCCCGTCACAACCGGTGCTTAGCACTCTGACTCTTGAATCTCTCTTAAGTCTTAATAACTACAGCACCTGCAGCCTTCGCTACTGCATTAGTGACTTAATGGCTCGTGGATAATCCCGTTTGTTTTTTTCTCGTTCGTGGACTCCATTTTGTTGATCCATTTTTCATGACACATGAAACTAGGTGATTCTTGTCCTTCTCTTTTCGATTATGGAAAACAGACAGTGACGATCTTCCGCCTAAATGGACAGGCAAGATGGTTGACCTCCTTTTCCCCCCGTTCTCTCCTCTCTCCCTCCTCTCCCCCTCCCACCTTCGGCGCGCGCGCCGTCGTTCTCTCCCCTCTTTTTCATCTTCTGCGTCCTCCGCCGCCTCCTTTTATTATTCCCCACTGGCTGAATCAACAGAGCTGATTAAGTTACTAGCATAACAAAGATAGGTTGTCACAGCGTTTCAGATCCTACATACTCATACTGATTACTGCGTAGAGTCCGTACATTCTTTCTTCCTCCTCCCAACCCATGTACCTGCATCCTCAGCCGATCCCGTCGTCCTACTCAAGTACAACCTCATCTCTATCTATCGAGATTCGATTGGATCGGGATCGCTCTCTAAGCCAGCAGTGGCAAGCTCTGGTGGAGTCGTTTGGTGACTTCTCCTCACTAATAAATAATTGGTAGGTACGTGGAGATTGCCTTCGATGATAACTCATCCCATTTGCATTTCCCTTCTCCACCAAATTATCCCACATCCACATCCCCCTAATCTAGCGAACACCCCTGGTTGAAGCTAACCCCGTTGGACTTGTTGTTCGTCCTTTTGTACCGTTGTCTATCTCGTCCTAATCCAATCAATGACTATGACCGGCCGACTCTCCATCCGAAGCTCGGACAAGGTTTCTGTGCAGGCGCAAGCCCCAATTTAGTGCTTAATCGGGTGTGATCAAACAGACGCCTTCGCTGATAATCTTTCCCTTCCCGTCAGATGGCCAGTCTGGCTAGAATCTCGGACCTACTGGGATGTACAGTACATGATTTAATCTTGTCGTTTTTGTTTTCTCTTTCCTTTTCTTCCTTTCTTCTTTATTAACCTTCTTTTTTCCCCAAAAAAAAGGCAAGGCAAAACAAGATAAACCAAGACAAGGAAGAAAATATCATTCGTGTTTCCGGGTCCGCGACGCCGCTGTTGCGCTGCTACCAGATTCAGTACTTCGCATCAGTTCCTTCATACTTCCTGTTCGACTCCCCCCCGTCGCTCATCGTACTTCAAACACCTTCCCTTCCCCTCACTAAGTGACGGGCAGCGTTCTATACCACAAATATCTTGCTGAGTATCCTCACGCCCGCATCTGCCTGTTCTTTCTGCACGGATTGCTCAAGAAGGCCAGAGGACGCGCAAGCGTCGAAAGCCGGCTTAATGTATGCCATCGCACTACCCCCAACCATGTTTCCGGCCTTTCGCTCCATCCCTTGAACATCAAAGACTGACTGGTTATGATGAATGCTATCTTTTGTCTAGAAGTCGGAAAGTCTCCTTGATCGAGTCTTACAGCTGCTGGTTGGCTAACTACTTGTTCTCCATCGAGGGGTCGGCGGAGTTATTCTACGCCACTCAGGAGACGCGGCATACATGGATGCTGCATGACACATTCCGGCAAGATCTGATTGATCCGTTACCATCTAGGGGATGTTTCTTCGAAGCTATCTCTTCTGATACGAACGCAATGGCCGCCAATAGCAGATATACCAGCTCTCCAGTGGCAAAGCGCTTTCCAACTCTTTCGTCTACAACCCCAAGAGCCCCGTCCATTCGATTACAAGTGGACTCTAGTGACCTCTCCTCATTCAGTAAACTGCCAATTCACAGCTTCTCGCCCCCGGGCCTCAGCGACTATGATGATATCGTGGAGGAAGACAGTCTTTCACCGCTAGATCCGCGGCGGTTCACCCCAACTCTGCATGCCTCTTTGGTGTCAGAAATCCTTTCGCTCCGGCGAGATGTGGAGAGTAAACTAAAGGCGATTGAAAGTCTGGAGCATACTTTGGACGAATCACGTACAGAGAATGGCAACCTTACTGAACGACTAACGAAGAGCATGAAAGAGTCTCGCTCGCTCAAGCAACAGCTGCAGCTTCTAGAAGGTGGCTCGTCCTCCGCTATCAGTGAACTCGTCAAGGAGCGGGACCAAGCATTAGCAAACATTGCAGATCTTCGCAAGAAACAGGAGCAAGCACAAAAAAAGGCCCGCAGTCTCGAAGAGGAGACAGAAAGGACAGTGCAGCTGTGGGATCGAGAGAAGGACAATTGGGACCGGGAACGCAGAAACCTGGAACGGAAAATTCATGTGGTTGAAGGTCGGCTGAAGGTCGTCTTGAATGAGGTGGCTGCAGCACAGGAAGCACGCTCTTTTCATCCCACGCGGGAGAGCGAACGCGTGACAGGCGCCAACGAGAGGCTTACAAGCAAGGACAGTGATTCCACGAGCATCGTGTCAAGCAGCGAAGGACGCCGCCGGACCAGCATCACGAGTGTCAGTACTGGCAATTGCGACGAATTTGACTACCACAATGTACGCTACTCTATGGCAAGCGTTTCCAACCTTCCTGTGGTCAAAGGTGAAGGATTGAATTTAGCTCAAGAGCTTGCTTTTGATGAAGATGATGAGTTTCGGTCTTTCGACCACGGCTTCAGATCTGTATCTCCTGAGGCTCTACCAGAGGAGCGGCCTGTCTCGGTACATTCACAGCTGTCCAGCACAATAAGCATGGGGGCCAAGGCTAGGAAAATCCTGGGGCTTTCGCTTGGTAGCATGGAGGGTTATGGTGCCAAGAATGAACCGGCGTCGGAGCCTGGTAGCCCTCTGAGATTCTCTTCAAACACATTCGTGTATCGAGATACCGGGGTGCAGTATTCCCTTCCTCCGTCACCCACATCGGACTGCCTACCTGAGATTGGCGCCTCAGCTCGGGCTCCGGACGAAAGTGAGAGTGAAGAAAGCCGGTGTTCGTGCCAAGTGAGAGATATCAGTACATCAACACTCACCATCGACATGGTATCCGCTTCCTGTCAAACCGTGGCAGGCCTCCCCACACCTCCGTGGACGCCCAGCCTAGACGATGTCCAAGCACCCAAACCAGTTTTGATGGTTTCGTCTTCCATGCAAACAATTGAACAACCAGTTGGGGAACCTGATGAGCAGCGAATCAGTGTGTCTCTTGGCGACATGGGCGCGTCGGGTCTCGAGATACCAATGATCGCCATACACCCCCCTTGCTCTGAACCACCTTCTCCTCGAGGTAGCGTAGTTCTCCCACCACAAACCAGGAGCGTTTCTTGTCAAGCCAGTCTTAGCTCGAATTCCGACTGCCGGGCGATTGGGATTCAAACAGAAGAGATAAAGATAAGCCAACAGGCAGTCAAATTACCGGCTAGCTTGCTCCCATCAGCTATACCAGACCTGCCATTCTACAATGTTACCGAGGACCTTCCTGTTCAGCCATACTGCCCACCGCCTCCCCGGTCTAAGAAGAGAGAAATCAAGGCTAATCAGGAAACCGGGCCGCTTGAGACGGTACAAGCTTATCCAGGCAACAATGACAATGGTCCTTTGGCTGAGGGATCAGAAAGCAAGCTCAGACGACCACTTCGCTCGAGTAGTCTCTTTGCTGGCTTTGAGCAGGGAAGTGATGATGAGTTACCGAATAAAGTCAACGAAGTCCTCACCGATGACGATCTCCTAAATCGACCATTCGCTTCTTATACGCTGAAAAGAGGCAAGCTGGTCTCAACTCAAGGCGGCTCAAGCTTGGACGGAGGTGTGTTGACCGAAATTGATAAGCATATATCAAAGTCAGAGGCTTGTGATCCAGAAGTGTCCCTAGACTACGAATCTAAAGACAGGCCCGGGTCTTCTTGGAGTCAGCGAATGGGACAAGGTCACCGGCGACAGAACTTTCGCAAAGCAACCATGGTACCCAATGGAACCGCGGCTCGTCAAACTTCACGCGCTCGAAGCCCCAGTGATCCTAGTATTGATGATGGCCGTGCAAGCAGTGCCTCCCACATTGCCCCTCCTATTCCTGTTCCAATCCGGCTCAGTTCGAGAAAGTTCCCCGCCCGTCGAGGTGATGGTCAACAAAGTCCAACACCATCGAATCCTGGAACTTTTTCCGATCGTGGACGTGCGCAGGTGATGCGGCGTCCAACCCTCCGGCGTGTGCGTTCTGCGAATGCTATGGCGCAGACAGAACGGCCTGCAAGCCGGTCGTCGCCGACGTCTACTTCGTCGTGCAGTCCTGTCAGTCCGGCGCACCCTTTACATCCATATGAGGACTTTACTACCCCATCCGAAAGCCAAGCCGTCCAACGGCGCTCAGCTTTTGCTCCAACAGCGTCTCGTACCTTTTCTCATGGACGGCAAGATTCTACAGCAACATCCGTCCAGCCCACCAGTGTTGTTGATGCTATCGCACAGACCATGGTTGGGGAATGGATGTACAAATACATTAGGAGGAGAAGATCATTCGGTGGTGTTGGAGAGCACAAAGAGAGTTGGGAAGGGCGCAGTGCCGATGAGGTATCGGCGAATATCACCAACAGTGGTGCAAGGCACAAGCGCTGGGTCTGGCTGGCACCCTATGAGCGTGCCGTCATGTGGAGCAGCAAGCAGCCTACGAGTGGGCCTGCGCTGCTAGGCAAGAGTGGCCGAAAGTGTGAGTGCTCTCTTATGCGACCCCCAATAAGTACCTGGCGTGACTAACGTGGTTACAGTGATGATCCAGTCCGTTCTTGACGTCAAGGACGAAAACCCGCTGCCGAAGGGATTTAATACACAGAGTCACTTCAATCGATCAATTCTCATTTTGACGCCACAACGTGCTCTCAAGTTCACGGCCACGAGCGTAGAACGACATTATGTCTGGCTGACGGCATTGTCTTTTCTAAGTCACAGTCCTAGTGGTATTCATGATCTGGCTGCCCTGCCCCCCGTGCCACAGGATGAAGGCACTGCAACCGCCCCATCGCCCTCTCTCCGCCGCAATCCAATCCGTGACTCAATCCGGATAGCCAAGGGTCGGCCCCGGCCCCGGCCCAAGGGGAAACGATCTTTCCTAGGTCAAGTCGAACCCGTCCCTGAGCTTCCTACTGGCTTTGAGTCTAGTCCATCTATGGATGCTGCTGACCCTCCGACGGTGCCACGGTTCTCAAACCATTCGCGGAAACGAAGCAATACCACGCCACGGATGCCAATGATGCGGAGCTTCTCCAGTCAAGGCTCAATACCGTCGGTTGAGTCCACGCGAGGCTCCTCTGACACGTATGTTGCTCAATCTCACGGGCCTGGAACTCACAGCATACCCAACAGCGTCAGTCGACGTACCTCTGAGACAGGCGCGAGGACGGGGAACTTCTTCGATGCAATCGGAACTGTTCGCATGGAGGCCTTCATCGATCAAACGAGCAAAACCCGGGGGCCTCAGTCTGGACGACACAGCCGGAAGGCATCTAGCACATGGAGCGCGGCTTATAATTCTACTTCTCCGCATCGAATTGGTGGTGAGCCTATTCGCCGTGTTGACCCCTTTGCAGAGTTCTGAGCAGGTTGAGGCAATAACCTCTCTATCTATACCGTCACAGAAACGGTAGCAGTAGAGGCTCTTTTGGCCCCCTCTAACCGATATGTTACATGCATTTGCTTTTTTGATTCTAGCGTACCCAATCTGCAGGCGTTATAGCGTCTTAGATACCATCTCTCGCTCACTCTTTCTCTTCTCTGCGCTTATCGAAGATGATATTGTCTAATGTCTTATCCTCTATGGGTGCGGAAGGAATCCCAGAATCGCAACCCTGTCTGGATGCAAATATGCCGTCTTTGAGTGAAAAGAATATAATTGAAATGATAAAAATCATAATCCCTCCCGCTCGAATAATGCAAAGTAACAAAATTGAAACCTCCACACACAAGATCGCCAGCCCAGGCAGTATGATATAAATGATCATCCCCCCTCATCCTTCTCTCTAGCTCAGTATCCATTGACACATGCTGCAGTGTCTGCAGACGAGTTCGGTTTCTCTGTCTGTATATGTGTATATGCTCTTTTTTTGTTCTATGCACGGGAGCGAGCAATCGAGACATAGGGAACCACACGGACCCTCCGTTGGGGGTCCAGGGGAAGAGCCGCGGAAAGAAAAACAGGACAAATTTAGAGACAAGTATGGGTTCGAATCGTTATCCGCAGTTAGCTTCGGTATCACAATTTGGCGGCTTCCTTGATCTCTCCGACCTTCAGCTTGGGCGTATACTTCTTCAGCACACCCTCGTTGTGATACTAAGGGACCCGCGGAAGAGGACCAGTCAGCCCCGGTTGTAAACTCAGAGTCGCATTAAACGAAAGAAACGAAACGAGAAGGGACAAGAAGCAACACGAGCCGGGAAGAGGAACAAGTTGTTGCGCGCGTGTGAGAGAGAACCGGGCTCGGGGACAAGAACGGAAACCTGATCCCGACACGGCACCCAGGCTCGCTTTTGGAGGAAGGGATGGGTGGCTGGCTGGCAAAAACCATCGAGGATGAAAGAAAACGAACCTTCCAGAACTGCTTTGTAGCGTCCTTGCCTGCCACGCGCTTCAGAATCTTCGCGCCACCAGGGTGTTCATCCACGAAGTTGGTGACATCGAAAACGGTGTTGTCGATGATGATGTAGAGACCCTTGTCCGGGGTATTGTGCGCAGCGACATCAGTGGGGGTGAAGAATTGAGACATTTTCTCTTTCGGTGTGTATGTGTAAGCTATGTGTGGATGTAGGTATGTAGGTCTGGCTTTCTTTTGTGTAAGTGAGTGGGAGAGCGGGAGTTGGATAGTATTAATTGTTATTTCAGGAGGAGTGAAAACAGGAAGTCAAAAGGATGTGGATGATGAAATGGGGAAACTAAGTAAGTGGAAACGCGGGGAGTGCAAGTGTCAAAGTGGAACATGCCGAGGTCCAGCAATGGAATCTGGCTGGGACTGCCCGACTGGTCTCCGGCTTCTCCTTCCGACAGAGACTGATTGATTACTGAGACGGTATAAGTTAGGTACTAGTAAGGTAAGGTACCTACGTAGATAATTAGCAACCTGGGATTGCAATGCAGGGTTGCTGGTTGGCTGCTTGGCTGCTTGGGTTCCCCGGGGCGGCACTCACTTACTTCCAAGTTGACTTACACATACATATTCTTCGGACTATCTTTGACCCGAGGTCTGCTGATATTCGTAGTAGAAATGATTTAAGTTGTCATTTCCAACAACACAACCTGACATGTACATATGGTAATCATTCAAACAAACCCACATATAATGACATATATTACATGCATCCATGCACAATCATCTGAGTCCACACAAGAGCCCTGGCGTCCTTTGCCTCATCTAGTCCCGGCTCTTTTCTCCAGCGGCCCCCTGTCCCTTCATCTTCTTCTCCAATCCTAAGGTCTCCAGGTCCTTCTTTTTGTAATAGTGCGGAGCGACTTCCACCAGCCATTCGGCTTGCAGAGGCATGTTGCTGCGCATATACTCCTTGCTCGTCAAGACCAGCTCAAAGTAGATCACCCACCGTGGGTTCACCTCAAACAACGTGCTCGACGGATGCAGGTACACTGTCTGTCCGTTCTTCACGGTGCGATAACTATCCCCACCGCGTTGGAGTCGCGCCGCATTAGGGAAGAATCCGGCAGTGATGGCCTTCTGAATCGGCACCAGGTTGTTCGACCCGCAGGTGCTAACCGTCACCTCGACCCGATCACAGAGCTTGGCAAGCTGATCACGAACATCACGGGCGCGCGTCAAACTGCGCTGCTGCAAGAAGTTCTCCTTTGCCCACACGTAGCTGAAGTCTGAGTCGACCCATTGGTTCCAAATATTGAGCAGGGTAAGGTGGTCGCCACCATCTTTAATCGTGAATCGGTTGCGGGCGCTATCCGCGTGAATCTTCTTGTCCTTGGGTCGGAAGAATAAGGCGCTGGCCTCACCCAACATTGACACAATCGACAGGACCTCTTCTACACAGCCGTACTTGTCCGCGGCGAGGATCGCTTTGGCTAGCATAGGGTCGGTCGGAAATTCGGCCATTTGCCTACCAATCTTCGTCAGCTCGCCGCGGTCGTTCAGCGCCCCCAGAGCGTACAGTTGCTCCAAGGCGCGAATGATCGTTTCCGCCGGTGGCGGGTCCATGAAGTCGAATTCAAGCAACTGGTCAATCCCGAGCGACTTCAGCATCAGGATAACGCTGTTTAGGTTCGTCCGCTGGATTTCCGGTGTCGTGCTTTCTTCAAGCTCGTTATGGTAAGCCCACTTTGTGTATAATCTAAAGCATTTGCCTGGACCGACACGTCCAGCGCGCCCAGCCCTTTGGTTGGCAGAAGCCCGCGAGCATGGTGTCACCACCAGGCTTTCCATACCCGTGCGTGGATTGAAGACATTTTCTTTCACAAAGCCCGGGTCAATCACGTAAACGATTCCATCAATGGTAAGACTGGTCTCGGCAATGTTCGTTGCCAGCACCACTTTCCGTGCCTTGGGTGGTGTAGGCTCGAAGATCTTGGTCTGCAGCTCAGATGGTAAGTTGGCATAGATCGGACAAATGATCATTTCCGGGATCTTATTCCCTAATTTTCGCGCAGTCTCCTGAAGGCTCTGTTCGGCCGCCTCAATCTCCTCTTGGCCGGTCAGGAAAACAAGGATATCACCTGTGCCCTGGGTAATGTGGATTTGGAAGACGGTCGTGATAGCCGCAGCCAGGTAGTTGGCCTCCGGCTGGGAAGTGTAGTGGATATCCACGGGGTACCGGCGACCCGGAATATTGAATATGGGCGCGTCATCAAAATACTGCTGGAACTTTTGCGCATCCATCGTCGCAGAGGAAATTAAAAGCTTCAGATCCGGCCGCGCCTTCGCGATGTCTTTCAAAAGGCCGCAGGCGATATCCGTTGGTACAGTTCGCTCGTGAGCTTCGTCGATCATCAGCGCCGAGTACTGACCCAAATCAGGCTCCGTGAGAAGCTCTCGCAACAGCATCCCGTCAGTCATGTACTTAAGTACGGTCTTGTCACTTGTATTGTCTTCGAACCGGATAGCGTATCCAACCTCGTTGCCCAACTTCACCCCCATTTCATCGGCCACACGCGACGCCACACTCATTGCGGCGACTCTACGAGGCTGCGTGCATCCAACCTTCATGCCACCCTTGGTAAAGCCAGCTTCGTGGAGGTACTGGGGGATTTGCGTTGTTTTACCGGAACCGGTCTCTCCCACGATGATTAGCACCTGGTGATCGTGCACCGCCTGAATGATTTGATCTCGGAATTGATAGATAGGCAGGCTCTTGCGCGTTTCCTCCATTGACTGTATTTTTTTCTCTGCGGCGTCTAGCTGCTCCTGAAGCCTCCGCTGCTCTTGCGTCATGGGCTTTCGTGTACCCTCCATCTTCGCGTCCATGATGAAATTGATTTTTTGTGAGTCGTCGAACACATACTCGTAGTCTCCTTCATCTACGAATTCTGCACGGTTGATTTGGGCCTTGGCCTTGGCCGTCTGCTCTAGCTCCCACTCTTCATGTTCTGTGATGAAGCGCTCCTGACCGTGCTCGTCACGGTCCACATACCGCTTGTATAGCGCGTCTTCCTTTTTCTTCCGGTCAATTTTGCCCTTTTCCGTGATGTAGTCCTCCGGCATAATGTAGCCATCCCGGTAATCGTCGATCTTGAGCCGTTCCTCGGCAATCCGCAGAACTTCTCGGTTTCGAGCAAACTCCTCCTTTTCCCGTCGTGTCAAGGTAGGATTATCACGTAGCTCTGCTGTCTCCTCCGCGACTTGTCGACGCAGTAAAGCCAAGCGTTCCGTCTCTCGTTTTTTGAGATACTCTTGTCGCGATCGCAACCGAATTTCAGGCATCACTGCTTCCCGGGCAGAAGCGTCGTCAGCTAAAGCTCGTCGTCGGGCAGCCTCGCCCGCTCTGGTCCGGTCTTCCACTATCTTCTTCGATTTGCTATCATCTTTTTTGGCCAATCGTTTGGCGAACTCATCCCGCTCCTCGAGGTCTCGTTTCCGCTCCAACTCCTTCTTCTCCTCGGGATCCAGATCAGCAGACACATTAGACCGTGGGGATGCAGATCCATCGTGCAGCTGGATCCGCTTGGAAGGTGACTCTTCCAAATCGCTGACTTGCTCATCACCACCATAAAGTTCCTCTTCTGGAATCTCTTCGTCACCCCAGCGAGCATCAAAATCGTCCACACGCTGTCGCAGCTTTTTGGTTCGTGGACGTTCTCGGTCTCTTAACCTTTCCTCCCGGCTGCGGTCACGCTTCCGGGTCTGGTCTACTTCCCGGCGACTGCGAGCTCCAGCCTCCTTACCAACCCGGTCACTAATTCTGCCTTTCTCGTCGCGTCTCCGTTGATCACTTTCAGCCTCGACGTTCAAGGGGCCCAGCGATCCTCGTATATCGGAACTATCATCCTCCATGTCCAGTAGCCGATACTTTTTCTTCGGTGCGGCGCTCACACGATCCTTGCTCGTTGCATTACTGCTGTTCCCGCTGGATTCAACCGTCGCGCCTGTGCCAACTCGCCGGTAAAGCTCTGTGCAGAATGATCCGACACCATCGGAACTGCCGTCTAGGAAAGGTAGAAGCTTGTCATGTAGTTCGGTGGCAGATTTTGCCGAGATCGCGGTTGCGAGTACGTAGTCTACCACAGTAGGATCTGATGCATTTGTCAGGCGTAATAGGGAGTCCGACACGAATGTCTTGTGGTCCATGACGTATGGCAAACGGAGAATCTAAGGTCAAGGCGCAAGGGATAAATCGGCCGTGGTTTCTGGAGTATTAGCTGTCCATGTGAAACCAACGTGAAATCTTGCACTAGAGCTCTAGCATGTACGCGCGCCAGCACCAAAGTCTTCTGAATAAAAGAGAGAGAAATAAAAGAAAAGAAAAGAAAAGTAAAGTAGTCGCATACGGTAAGAATAAAGATACAGACCACGTAGTGAGGCGACGGGCAGCCGATGAGAATGCAAATGCGGCAGCGAGAGCGGTGAGGACGGGTGGTGGGAGGATGCAGAGAGCCAAGCTTGACATCGGCGTCGGCGGCCGGTGGCGAACCCCCCGACTTGCTCAAGCAGCACTGTAACAGGTACTAACTTTATGATCCACAAGGGCTGATATGCCACGCTACGAACATGTTGGGTCTCATCTTCAAACGATACCAATCGACCTTGCCAGAAGCTGAGGTGTCATCAAAATTACTTTGTTCGACTAAATACGGCAGTTTCCTGTCTGCCTAGAACACATAGCGACATCCATAAGAAGTGGGTTGAGAAATTGACAGTGGATCGAAAGCAACGCTGAAGAGAGGGCGCATAGTACAGACAAGGGATATTGGTTACATAGACATGTAGGGATAAGGGAATTTCATCAAACGCCTAAAGTACACGGAGGAAATAGTGACCATATCAGTCCGTCCGGGTTTCCGCAACCAGGAAATCCATTAAAGAAGACGGCAAAGGTAGTTTGAGGCAAAGAGAACGGAAAGTAGGAAATCAGGCAAGCCATAGGCCTGCCACATAGTGTATGATATACATCCTCGCTTAAAACGCAGGACGTAAACGCAAAAGAGAGCGGATCATCGTCATATGTCACTTCAGTCATCACGAACTGCAGAAGCCCAATCATGCAGAAGAACAGGTACAAGGCGAACAGAATAAGAGTAAAAGGGATAGAATGGAAGGGAGGGACGCAATATATAAAAGAAGCCAGGAGTCTCGTTAATTAACTGACTCATAAACAAAAGAAATTTGCAAAACGAAAATGAGTGGACAACCACCGCGCAATGAGCCCGGTCATATCCGGTTCAAATGAGATGGTCGAATGGGAATCTCGATCCCGGCATGGTAATCGAGACAGTCAACTGGACATTAAGATTGATAGTTCGGAATCTCACATAGAACGCCGTCATTAGATGGTATTGTAAAGAAAAGCACCAACTCCGTCGAAATGCATTAGATATGTCAAGTTGTACTGATCAAACGTCGATCATTTCTGCGTCTTCAACGAGGGCCTCATCAGCAGGGCCCCAGTTGCCTTCGTAGACGGTGGCTCCAGCGCGACGTCGGCCGGCAACGAACTGAACGCCGTAGGTCTCAAGAACTTGCTCCGCCGTTGGTCGATCAAACGGTTCCGGTGAGATCATCCACCGCACAATCTTGTCCAAAGCTTGTTCATGGCTGGCGTCGACCATGAAGTCAGGAGGGTCAACAAGTTCGCCCGATCGTACAAGAGGAACCGCGTTTTGATCACTAGGTTTGCGGCCCCCGAGGAAGCTGTCCATTCCAAAATCGTCATCCCCAAAGTCGGATGCACATAGTTCCTCAAACGATGGTTCCTCTAAGATGGGGTTGCCGGACGCATCACGGAAGATGCTTGTCTCGAAACTGAATGTTAAGCTGGGGATGTCACTCATGTCGCCGTTCCGCAGCTTCTGCCACGAAAGCCCATTGTCGGGCAATTCAACATTTCCAGCGATTTCGAACATAATCAAGCCCAAAGAAAAGATGTCTGCCGGCTTGTCAAAGCGACCCATCAGTATTTCGGGGCCTATATATTCACGATCACCTTCACCTTCGATGCCATCCTCCGCTGGCCAACGTGCTGCCATGCCAAAATCAGCGATCTTCAATACTCCCTCGAAGGTGATCAGGATATTTGCAGGCTTCAGGTCTAAATGAATGAAGCCCATTTCATGGATGTGGTTCAAGCCCTGTCGTACTCGTTAGTGCTTTTCCTAGCTTTCTATCGTCTGCGAAGCACAGGAATCCGAACGCACCGTTGACAGCTCCAATAAGATCTTCCAGATGCGGAAGTCATCTAATCGTGCCTTCAATCCAACTTGAGCAAGGAACACATCCAAGCTACCTTCTTCGCAAAACTCTGTTTGGATATAGAGGTGACCGTTATCCTCCCAACTGTCCATGAAGGAGATGATATAATCCGAATTGGTGAGAGATTTGAGTATGTCCACTTCACGAATGCGACGTTCACGATCCTTAAGCCCAGAGTATGGCTGTTTTGATTTTTTTACAGCCCAAACTTGCTCGGTGAGTGCTTTAGGAGTATGTGTGCCATCCGAGCGTGAGGACGATATTGGCATGTCCAGGGGTTCCGCGACTCGATAGACCTGGGAGAATTCTCCTGTACCGACCAGTTCCACTCGTTCAAAACGTGAAGTCAGACTCGGATCCACATCTGGTACATGGTAGCCAGCCAACGGAAGGCTAGGGCGCTTGCCTGACTGATGAAACGAATCACGAGGACCGGTGGGGGTCGCTGGAAGGTTAGAAGAACTGAAGTCGAGTCTGGTCAAATGCTGCTCGTTGGAAATTGATAGCCCGCTCGGGTCAGGAAACAGATGATCTTGCGGGGTGTGAGGGGATCCCCGCTGGAATCGGTCGTGTAGTGGGCTTGAGCTCACTGCTTTAGCTTCCGCAAGCCTTTCCAGGGATGCGATCTGTGAGATGGGAGGAGGATAGGTTCGAGAAGGAAAGAAGCTTTGCTTTGTAGGTGTCGGGGGAAGATCTGTTTCACAGAAAGATTGAATGTTATGGCGGCTAGAGGGCGATTGAGACGCAAACAAGTCATCACCGTCGACGCTCGCGAAACTACCTCGACGAGATGCCTCAGGTTTGTTGAAAGAGGTCCCGAAGATCCCCATGCCCCGTGCAAATGGGCCCGGTCTGGGCCGATCAGTAGGTGGATTGAACGGTGAGGGCGGTGCCATCTCTGACTGACGGGCTGAGGCTGACATGTCCGAAGGTCGTTCCGGCTGCAATTTCGAACCAGGAAAAAGATTGGTCGGCCGTTTACAAGGGGTGTCTGGCATGTTCTTGCTGAATCCGAGACCACTCTGAGGGTCTTCTGCATTGCGATTCTTTTTTGAGATGAGACCCGTGGACATGAAAGCAGCCGGAAGAGGTTTGACTAGCTTGTAATTCTCCGGCGTTGCAAACGAGTCCATGGACGATGTCGAATCCTCCCGAGTGAGATGTCGTAATGGCACAGGCCGCGCGCTTCCCGCAGGAAGGGACTTGGAAAAATCAAAGACTCCCCTTGGACGGTCGGTCTTGTGGATGGGTTCATGGGTCGGAGAGTCGTCAACCAAGCTGGAACCAGATGAAGATTGCGTGATGGTCCTTGAAAGCGGATGGGCAGCAGGACGAGCTTGTGTCGCAATGCCTCCTGTTGATGAGAACAGCGAGCTGCCAGACACAGTTCGAGAGGCAAAGGGACTCTCTCGATGAGGTTGGAAAAGATTGTTATCCAGAGACATGCGGGACCGCACAGGATTTAGTGAGCGATCGCTCTGTCGCTGCTGAACGGTAGATCTCCGAAGAGATGACGATCGTTTAGGAATTGTAGCGAAAGGGCTGAATGGAGTGGCATTGGTTGGGAAGGGCGGCGTCGTGGACTCGGGGGACGATTCGGCCGCAGGATCTTCAATCTGGGAAACATCTTCATTATCAAAGATGCTAAACTCGCTCGACAGACTCGTGGCCTGAACGCTGCGTCTTTTTGCGGAAGGGCTACCGCGAGATGCCCGGTCCAGATTCATGATTCCGTCACTACGTTTCAGTGGACTGACGGCAGCGTACGATGCAAATGTCCCGCTCCGTCGCTTCTCGATGCGGGAATGCGTTTGCCGAGGTGCCAGTGTAGATTCTAAACATATGGGTGTGTCACTAGGATGTGCATCGACTGCGGTGTTGTCCAGAGACGGAAGAACGAGCCCAGGGGTAGTGGGGGAATTCTCCACACCCGGCGTTGTTGGTGTTGATTGTGCAGGCTTCGCATTTCCGTGATCTGTGGAGATATTCAAAGCGCGTTTGACGGGACTTCTCGGGGATGTGCGCACGCGACGCATGATAGGCCTCGTTATTTTGGCGCTTGGGGGATAAGGTACGGCGAATGGTGATTGATGAGATGAACTAGGGAAGAGTACAAAGTTGCTCTGTGCGGATCGCCGGGAAGGTGACAGAGGTGAGGAGATGAAAGGAGCTGTCTTCGACGGGGAATGATGTCGAGGTGCCAGCAGTGAAAAGTTCGAGTTCTTGGAAGGCGAGCGCGATAATGACCGGCGTAGTTGTCGAATGGCCGTATTAGCGTCCATATGGTGAATACCACTATGAGATGGCAGGTGCAATGTGCCACCCGCATCGCGGTGCGGCGAGAAAGTTGCTACCATAATGGTTGTATATGATTGTCAGATTGAGGAACCAGACCTCTGAGTGTTTCACGTATGATTTGGAAGCAGGCCAGACAGAGTCTGGGATGGTCAGCAAAGTGTGCTTTTGCCAAGTCACAGATAGACGACCAAGGCAGGCTTTCCAGACTCTCCGAGTCGTGACAGACTTTCACAACAGCCAACAGCCTCGGGAATTATCCTGTGGCGGTGCGCTCTGCCCCGGCTTAGCCAGTTATCAACGCGAATATTGTTTGTAGTGGAATGTTTGAGAGGTAAGGCGCTGCACCAGTGGTTGGGTCTGCGTGATATGTGTTTTCGATGCGACACGACAAATGAATGAACATCAGCAGCTTAGGTCGAGACCGCGGGGGCTTCGAGAGCGCTTGTAGAAGCCTCCATACACCCCCAAAGAAGAGCAACTCCTCCGTGCGTATGCCGATGGTCGTAGGTGTGGTTGAAGGAAAACAATCAGCCTCCTTCGCGATCTCAGGCACGGGGCCACGCGTCAGAATCAGACACGCAGACCACGCACACAATGTCCTTGAAGGCCTGCGCAGTACGTCGCTGCGCTTGAGACGAAATAGATCTCTATGGAATGTTTCAGGTTGATAGCAGACGTCAAAACAAGCAGGCGCGACGCGAAGATGCAGGAGCGACAGGAACGAGGACGGACGCGACAAGAATTCCAAGACAGTGCGACCAGCTGCAAGCGATGCGCGAGAAAGAGGCAGGCGAGTTGCAGCGCAGGACGTGAGAGGATTGATTCTGATTTGATGAGAAGGGAACCACAGCAGCAAGATTCACCTCCCTTCCGTCTCCCTTTCTTCCTTTAAAACCTGGATGACTGCGCTTCTGCTGCAGAGAGGACCGTGGGCGCAAGGGGTGGCGATTTCGAGGGCCCCCAAAAAAAGAATCAAATAGCCACGCGAAGTCGAAGAAGGCGAGACGAAGGAAGGGATGAGGATGAGGTGGAAGGATGGATAATCCGATGAAGGGGAGGGGCTGGCAATAGGACGGAGAAGTTGCGGTATGCAGAGCCAGCCTTTCAATAATGATGAATCAATCGTCCGAAAAGTTACCGTTATGGGGAGGAAAGTTCGCGAGTTAACTTTGGAGGGGAAGGCTGATAGTCGTTCGATGATGATGATAATAAGTCTGGGTGGGGAGAAGGGTAGAAGAGGGACAGATGTGGATGGTAAGCAAGCGTAGGAAGGAAGGGAACAAAAACTTTTGGGTATCTCAAAAAAAAATTGCAGAGTGCAAGAGAAGGCCAACGTTGTTAATCGGTGGTTAGTGAGCGAGCGGTTAGTTGGAGGGAGAAAGGTAGTGGTAGAGAAAGAGGGAGGACCTGACCAGGACAAGGATGGTTCAGGTACCCGGCCAAGTTGGTCAACTCCTTCGTCTTTCGCTCCTCAAAATCCCCAGGGCAGGACTCGATGTTTCTCTTTGCACGCGCAGGTCGCGTCGTTTGTTGTTGACGGCAGACTGGTTTAGGCTTAGCTCCGGGAGCGTCACGCGTAACCCCAAGATTCCTTGGGGATCATACGATACATACCGGTAATTTTCAACCTTTCGGCGCCCCGCCTCTTGCAGTTCTTTCCATCTCAGGCCGGTTTCAGGCCAGTTGATGCAAGATGCGATCTAAACAGAGAGAGGGAAGAATAAAGAATAATAACAGAAATGAAGAAAATAATAAGAAAGGAAAGAATCAAATCAGAGAGACATTGTAAGCCACTATATCTCTACCACTTCTACCTAGACTCATTACCATCTTTCCATTTATCTTCCCTCGAAAAAACTTAGCCAGGCTGCTCTCACCGCATGTCAAGGCGCAATTAGGATTTCCAGAACCCGTTCATTGGAATAGTCCCGTAACGTGTAATATATTTTTTAGCGTGGTAGACGGTAAGGCAGGAATACAAGACCCGCGACTGAGGGCTCCCGTACCAGTTGAGAGAAGTCCCGGATGACTTCATCAGTGCCACTTTACCCCTCCGCATCACCCAACGCTTACTTATCCATCCTATCGATAATGTCGATAAGACGCGCGGGGGGAGAAGAGGAGAGCGGCGGTCGGGTCAACAGTACGTACCCTTCCAGGAGTTTATCTGACTACTCCCTTGCGTGCGCACTGAAATAATTAATTACCTTAATCACCCCTCCTCCACCATGAGCAGGCAGTTGAGATCCGTCCGCAAACACCATCATTGAGACTTTGTTCTGAGACTATGTCGTTCTTCAACATTATTATCATAAGCTTTGAAATTGGTCTCGCAACTTCCTCTTCCAGTTTATAACCTCTCTGCAAGTTTTTCCTTGTCCTTCCCCCACAATTAATTTATATTCATTGCTTTAGAATCTTCCTAATAATAAACTTGAGCAATCGACTACCCACAAATGTGGGCTATACCAACAATCGTTTTCAATATCATATTCGTCTTCTGCTCGGGGGCGACTAGAGCTACTGGGGCACCTCTTTTATTTTCCCTGCCGGGGATGGCGAGTCTTACAATTACTTATACGTAGCAGTACTTCCTAGTTGCGGATGCTTATTCTCTGATCCCTTTCTGGATGCTCTTACCCGCTATTACTAGCTGGCTGGGTGCCCAATTCTTCTCTCAATATTTAAACTTGTAGTTAACACCGGACCACTTCCCCCCTCTCCCCCTTCTTCCTTCAGTAACACGTGTTGGTCCTCGTAACCTCCTTCTGGCTGTACTCGACATGTCTGCGGCAGATGGTAAATCAAAAGAAAAAGTGCTTTTCATATCATACCGTACTTTCCTGTATGTCTTTGATATGCAAGCTAGCTTTGCAATTTTGTAATACCTCTCGTATCTTCTGTAAGACTGGGGTTCGGACATCACCCCACATGATCTTTCTTCCTTAACTATTCAAACTAAGCGCCTGGAAGAATATGAAACGGTCCGATAGCCTCAGATAGATAAAGTCCTATGATATCGCACACCATGATGCACAACATAATAATTCTTGCTGTAGTGCTTCCGAGGCGATTCGCTTTGTCGGCCTTCACCCGAAGCCCGCTCGAGCGCATTGCACCCATCCATTCTGATGGTGTTAGCCGTTCCTGAGTTGTGGTTCAAAGATTGATTCAAGTTAGCCTGGTGCAAAGCCGAGTTTCTCGAATCTCTAGCAATAATTGAGCCGATCATAGAGGGGGCTATAGGCTTTCACCCTTGATTCAATCAATCAATCTATTGGGGAGAGATAGCGCGGGTCAGTCCTCGGGAGTACAGCTTGACGGCCTCAGGCACAACAAAGGTAAACTTAAATAGTAAGGTAGTCTGATGAACTTGGAACCTTGAACACTGCACCGCAGGCATTGGCAATCAATCATATCCCTTGGTGCCCCGGCCGCCCTATCCATTTGGCTCGTCAGCTTATCCCTCACCCCACTCCTCTCCCTTACACCGCACCTTTAGGGTCGAGCAATTCCCGGCTTTCTTCCTTCCTTTTTTTACCCTTTCTTCACGTTTACACATTGACTTATGGGACTATCCATCTCTTGGCAGATTTCTACCGTAATTCTTCCTTGGTCATGGCGGCGCCCGGTCGATCCAAGACTTTTTTCTCTGGGTCCAAACACTTGAATCCTACATAGTAATATCCTGCGGCCTTGCCTCGAATTGTTTCCCCACCCCACCGCATGAACCGCTTACCACATTTGCCTTCGTTAGTACTGTGGTCGTTGTTCTCAGTTGACCCTCACGGAAGATTCCCGGCCAAGGCCTGCGGATTCTAGATCTGTTCACAAGATACCCAGGCCGGTTTATAGTCGACATTCTTTTACCTACCCCGACCTTGCCCGAAAGTCTCAAAGCTTGACTTATCAGGAAGGCGAGGATGCCTGCGACTCTACTGATGCGTCTGCCTCGCCCACTTTGTTTGGTTCAGCTGCGCATACTCGTGGGGCTTTGTGGCCTTGTGGTGAGCTTCTCGACCTTGTTTCGGCTACCTGTCACCTGTCGATGCTAGCTGCATCCAGGACGTTCAATCAAACCATTGCAGACTTCCGGCGCCGGGATGAACCAGTCTGCCTGATTGGGCTCCTGGTTCAAACTATGCGCGTCTCTGGGTGAGGAAGACCTCTTTTATGTTGCCAGATTGTTCAAGGACGCCATCGAATACGTTTGCAAAAATAGTATAGCTACAATTGACAAGCAACAACTCGATCCTCCGCCATTCGCGATTCTACCGACAATCGAATTATCTCGTGGTCCTTCCAAGCCACTTGAGTTTATATACATAATTGACTCATAGTTCAAAAGAGAAACCCTGGCTTGAAAGGGCCGCTATGTCTGGAGAAGCTTGTATGCGTGTATTCAAAATTGGGGCTTTAGATAAGAAGAACACTTCCACAGCCACATATTTCGCGTTGGCTAGGAAGGCTCTCTGTCTGATGCGACAGCCTCGGGACTGAACAGCATCCGACTATATTTTCCTATGTACACTCTCCCTCCTCACACTCAATAGATATGCAGAGCCTTTGAGTTGGGCCGCTTTATGGCCAGGTGGTTGCTTAAACTCAATGAAGCAGGCCGTGGCTATAACGATGATGGCTTATATCTCACTCGGACCAGACTCTCCGGACCGAGTAATCGCTGCACTTCATTCTTTATATTGCACATTCGTTGCGCGGCAAGGAGACGAGACCAATGTGACCTCCAGGGTGTCAAGCACGAGACACGTAACTAGGAGGCGAGGAAAATATTCTGAGCCATCTCATTACCAAGGCACTGAATAAGATAACTTGAAGTGGAGTTTAGATACGGTACGCACTTTAACAAGCCTTCGGGGCTTTATCTCTACAACCCAAATCACCGTGTGGCTAAGTTGTTTGTGAGCAGTCACCATCTTTGGTACATATATGCAAGCTCGAGCAGATATATAGCAACTGCGCTAATGTACGTGGCCTCCCAATAGTACTAGCTATCTAGATGCAGTTATAGTTCGGTTCTGATTAGCATTACTAAATCTGCCTGGATTATCTTTCCCATCCCCTGAAATCCGGATGGATATGGAATTAGCATCACGAGTCATTATCGGTTTCGTTAGCTTCATACATTATCGTTGCTTTGATGCTATCCTATCTGCCGGTATCAAAATTGCATGAGAAAAGACTTCATATAGCTTTGATACCACATATTGTTTAATATATAAGTCAAGTGAGACAAAGATCCGAATTCCTGTCATTGTCACGAAATGCCTGCCTGCGGATTCGCCAGTACCGAATGAGGCAGCCTTCTGATCAAGCTAGCTTATTCAGAAACACACTGCTGCTGCAGGCTTTGACTCTAAGAACTGTATGGGAACTTGCCTTAGCAATCAGTCAAGTATCTGTTCAAGCACAGCACAGAATACTTGGCTAGCCTGCTCGAGTGCAGCACCTTCCGAAATTCTATCAGTCTAATGCGTGTCTGTAAATATGCGCGGCTTCCTCTTGATATGTACGCAGACATATAGTCGCTAGTATGCGTTTCAAGAAACGTAGCACTAGAGATTCGTCCTGAACGGGCACTAGCTAGTGGGCCGTGACCTATAACATGCACGAAATAACCGAGTGATACTTGTCACGGATGAGGGTCTTCCCAGAGTTTTGTTATTTCCTACGTTTCAGCCCTGGGGCTGTCTCATTGTTCTCTATCTTTATCCTTTGTAACTTAAAAGTTCATTCAATAACCAGGCATGGCGTGAATTAAGAATCGCGTGTCTGACAAACTTATAGAGCGCTGGTTCATGAATAATAAAGGGCCTCGCATCATCCTGTTCAACCTGCACGAGACAGCAAACAGAAACCATATACCTACTGAGATTTGAGACTTATGACTTTAGTATGTATTGTGCTTAATGCTTCTCAAACTATCAAGTGTTAGTCATGCTCCAGCATTGTGTCTGCTGCCGCTGTAAGATTCGCTCTTGATACAAGGTCAACTTGAAAGAGAAATATTTGGAGGATTCTCTATACTGTAATCGCTTTTTTAAAAACAATCGGCTGCTTGTGAAGTCATTCGTTAGAGAACCTGACCGGGTGCGAGGGCAGGTATAAGTTGGGATCTAACTGATCTCTAACTGCGAGATCATACCTTTACAGCTACCTCGAAGTATGGCTGGCTAACATTCTCTACCATCAAGCATACTGATCCGGGCTTGCTCTATGTCTGTCCGACTTGTGGACAAAGCAATACGACCGCTTGATTTAGATCAGAGGTGACAGCATGCCTGGCCAGGATGTATGATAGTCGAACATGGTGCTCCTATCACTCTACCAGTGTCGAGAGAGTGTCTACTTGAGAAGGTTGCTCATAGCTGGGCATCGACTTACAGCATGGTTCAAGACGTTTAGCTCCTTGGTTCCTGAGATGGACTTGTCGATGACATATATTGAATATGTGTACCACATTTGATTTGATATCTCAGTAATTACACCAGCCTATTTACTACTAAAGTATGCCCTCGACTGTCTCTATCTACCCAGTAGGAAGTGAATCCTCGACACTAGACAACATTACACCTGTTTTGCTACTGGACATCAAATCGAACTGGTTGTCTACGAAGGTGCAGCAAAGACCTCATAGCTAAGTCATCCAATGATGCTGATATCATCCGAAAACGAAGTCACAATTCAAGCTCTGGCCAGGATTGAATGTCTGGTGGCAACAAATTACCGACTACTAATATAACTTCTCGTGAGATACAGCTACAAAGGTCCTGTCATATTTGCTTTTGATCATGTGTCATTCGGTTTGTCAATTCATGTCAAGGAAGGTCTAGTTTCCTAATCATCAGGGACGCGTTCGAGCCTGCTCCTTGCGCAGCATACACTTTACCTCTGGGAGCAATCTGTTTGGGTTTTAGGAGCCTGTCGTATATTTATTATCTGAGGGGCAATCTTTGCATAATTGAAAGACGAAGTATTTTACTGTTGTTACTGGTTGCCCGGACCTCGTTAGCTATTCAATACTCAATCCTCACCGGAAGCTTCATGCTTAACAGTTCTAGTTATCATTAGTGCTAGAGGTCTTGTGGGCATGCGTCCATCTTTCAAGTCATACTTCAGGTAGGGTATCACCTAATGTATACTATGTATATCACACAGTAGGTGGAGACTGTTGCTCTACAAAATCTATCCAGCCTGTAGGAATCAAATAGATTTGCAGTACCAGGGTCTGAGACGGGTCGGCAATATTAAACTCGAAGATACTGAGCCTGGTATAACAACGCCTGTACTCGCATGCTGGCAATCGCTTGTTGCCATCTGAGTGATATAGCTAGAAGAAGTACTGCTGATGTAAGAGCCCCCTCCTTTTGATCAGCTATTCGACCAAGATATGCACAGAAGAAGAATCTTAGGTGTGTCATGTTACTCCAAAATATTTAAATTCAGACTTCTTACAGCACCTATGAGCACTGAAATCTGTCTTTATTGTTGACGCAAATGTTGTCTTGACACTATTACATCTGCTACTACGGTCGCATGGTATAGGTAGGAAAATGCTGTAATAGCATACACAAGCCTCTGAAGGTATTAGTAGTAGTCAAGGGTAATAACGTGGCTAAGTATCTTATTGGCGGTCACATTGAGGCGAACGCCTTTATGAGCCTGTAGTGTAAAGTCCCTCGTATGTTCTACAGTAAATATACACTGAGAGTTCTGACTGTATTTGATCAAAGTTCAACCAACTAGGACAAAGGCATTCATAATCAAACGAGAGCGGCCCGGAGGAGGGGTTACAGTAGCTAGTGAGGGGTAGGTAGGTACCTTCGCTATGGTGTAACTTTCTTCCAAGACCGTGCTTATTCTACCATGGTGAAGGCGGGGTTAGAGCCGGGCTCCAGTAAGAATCACCCCAAAACCAACTGATTATAGAAAATCACACCATTCTTGCCCTCAGCATAGAGAGTCACCGATCAATGACCGCCACTAGTCGTAAGCCAGTCGTTATGCTTTTGCGCAGTGCCAACCAATGTTAAGTAGGGGTTGGCCCGAGGCAAATGCCCTCGGTCCAGCATCTAGGCCTGTAGAAGGCATAGGCACCTCATCCACCTCCATTCAAAAGGCGGTTTAGATTGAAACGAGGTATTGGTTCATGCATGTGGCCATCAGACAGGTTCGTGATCAGGGTGAGACTCCTTAACAATTGGCTCTGCCTGCGGAGTTCTTCTGCGTTAGTATAAAGGTGAGTAGAGGCTGTTCCCACCGCCTAGAGAGGCTCCTGAGCGGCCCTTGATGCTTTCACAACTGCTTGAGGCAGCACGCTATGAGTTAGAGCGTGCAGATGAAGGAAGTCTCTCGTGATCGTGTACTGACAAGCTTCCCTATCAAAGTTTAAACTACTATGTTCGTGCTTGAAGGCTTTTCTTCCACTGCCTGATTTTGGCCAACTAGTTATACTGTACCTAGCAAGTTGAGAGATACCTACTACCTATAACTACCTATACATCTAGAAAAGGGTTCTTTTTTGTTAACTTGGAAATGAAGAAGGATGGATTTATTGTCTGTATTGTAAGGTGAAGGAATGACAAGACAAATACATATATAACAGATACATCTGTATAGGTATGTACAGTACATAGCCCCGTCGGGGGCTAGTCCAATTTTCCGACATCGGGCGACTGCGGATCTAATCTAAGCGTCCATCACACTTTCCACATTCCACTTTCCACTTCCAGGATTCTACACCGAACGGACTGCGGGGCACACTCGGGTCGGACTCTTCACCCACTCCTCCCACTTGGTGTATCATTCTGTAGTTTTGGTACTCAAGTACAGTCAGTACGGTAGTAAGTACGTACCTTGCTCTTACCACGTTTCTTGGGCCAGTGGGACCGTGTGTCCACCCATTCATTCATTCACTATGCTATTCCTGGCCCGCTGTCAAAGCATGGTGCGCTGAAAAAGCAAGCAGGAGAGATGAGGTAATTTATATTCAAAGTCGAGAGAATATTACATTAAAAACAACGACGTCTACAGACACTAAAATTAACATTAATTAGAACGAACTTCAAACAAGAAAAAAAGAAGAAGAAGAATAGGAAAAGAAAAGGAAAGGGAGAGAGAGGGAGAGGAAAGGAAGGAAAAGTAAGAATTGATCGAACCACTCGGGATTCCGACCTGCAAAAACTAAAAAGTTTCATAGCCTCAAGCAGGATCCGTCGCTTCAGAAAAAAAAATAATCTTATCCATCTTGGGCTCCCCAGGAAACCACCGTCCGTCCGTGGACCTACAGTACGTATTCGGTATTTAACTTCCACCGATATTTTCATTCGTAGATTATCAGATCGATTTTATTGTTTTCTCCGGCTCCATATGGACAGTCATAATTTATCCGCTTCGAATATTTTGGATTCCATTTTCGGCGCGCCTGACTCCATCCTTTCTCTCCATTGCCCCCATCGATTAATCCACCGGTGCATATAACTACCTACGACCCCTCGCCCGTAACCTACCGCGATTTCCTCCCTACCTCCCTCTCTCTCTACTCTCTCCCTATCTCACCCCTAACGCTATCTTCTGCTCTTTCCAAAGCCCGCCCACGGTGTTTATGCTCCCATTCCCATCTCGATCCTGGGACACAGACCTTTCTGATTTATTTCTCGCCAGCTACTCCCTTTTGCCACATCTTGTCTAGCATAGCTAACACCAATGGAGTCTATCGTACGGAAGCCTGAAGTGAGCTTCCAGAGCCACCGCGACATGGCTGTCAAGCAACAGCGGGAGCCATCCCGTCTCCGAGCAAGCCCCCAGGACGAGCTGCACGATTTGCTTTGTGTGGGGTTCGGTCCTGCATCGCTCGCAATCGCAATCGCCTTGAACGATGCCCTGGATCCTTGTTTGAACAAGTCCACCTCCAGCTCCGGCTGGCAACCTAGAGTCTGCTTTCTGGAGCGTCAGAAGCAGTTCGCCTGGCACCCGGGCATGTTGCTGCCCGGATCGAAAATGCAGATCTCTTTCATCAAGGACCTGGCCACCCTCCGTGATCCCCGCAGCAGTTTCACCTTCCTCAACTACCTTCACCAGAAGGAGCGGTTGATCCACTTCACAAATCTGGGCACGTTCACTCCAGCTCGCCTGGAGTTCGAAGATTATATGCGCTGGTGTGCGCAACGATTCTCCGATGTGGTTTCTTACGGAGAAGAGGTGATTGATGTGGTTCCGGGCAAAACCGACCCTACAGGCTCGGTGGTTGACTATTTCACTGTTCGCTCCCGCAATGTCGAGACCGGAGAGATTTCCTCCAGAACGGCCCGGAAGGTCGTAGTCGCGCTTGGTGGCAGTCCAAAGATGCCCCCAGGCCTCCCTCAAGACCCCCGGATCCTGCATTCGTCCCAGTACTGCACCAATCTACCCACTCTACTCAGCGACGAGCGCAAACCTTATAACGTTGCCGTTCTTGGAAGCGGCCAAAGTGCTGCGGAAATTTTCCACGATATTCAGAAGCGATATCCTAACTCTAAGACTACCCTGATTATGCGGGATACCGCCATGCGACCCAGCGATGACTCCCCATTGTAAGCGCAATCACCTCATACCACCTCCTCCCCCAACCTTCTGGCTCGTGAGCTGACTCGAATGTTTAGCGTCAATGAACTCTTCAATCCCGAGAGAATCGATAAATTCTACAACCTTTCTGCGAATGAACGTCAGCGTTCCCTCAAGGCTGACAAGGCCACTAACTACAGTGTCGTCCGGCTTGAGCTCATCGAGCAGATTTTCGACGACATGTATACCCAGCGAATCCAGAACCCTGACGAGACACAGTGGCAACACCGCATTCTACCTGGCCGTAAAGTCACCCGAGTCGAACATCATGGTCCCCAAAGTCGGATGCGCATTCACGTTCGCGCCGCTAAGGATGGAGCAGACAGCTTGGTTGGTGATGGCAAGGAGACATTGGAGGTGGATGCCCTCATGGTGGCAACGGGTTACAACCGCAATGCACACGAGCAACTTTTGAAGAACGTACAGCACCTGCGACCGGCGGGGCAGGAAGTGTGGACCCCTGGTCGGGATTATCGGGTCGATATGGACACCAGCAAAGTTAGCGCCCATGCAGGCATTTGGCTTCAGGGCTGCAATGAGAAGACACATGGCCTGAGCGACAGTCTTCTGTCCGTCTTGGCCGCTCGAGGCGGGGAGATGGTGGAATCGATTTTTGGTGAACAGCTGTCGGGTGCGACGGTGCCGGCCACCAGATTGCGCGCCATGCTGTAATACAGGAATATGATCCAGGGAGGCGTCCGCAGGTCTGCTTCGTCGGCATAACTTCCTGATGCCTGGGAATAATACTTGAATGATCAGAAGAGAAGAGGAGAAAAATAAAGGGGCGGGTGAGATGGAAAAAGAAACGCTTGCTTCAGGAATTACCTTGACTGTAAACAATATATTTGTCAGTTATGATCGTTTACTCGTGTTGAATATACCATATACATACCACTTTGATACTGAGAAACTCAAGGTACGTAGCATATTACATAGTGATTGAGATGAGATACATTGTTGCTCGAATCAATACTTTCTAATTGAAGCGACGCAAAAATAATGCCATGGCAATGTGCTATACCTACATCATGATACCTTAGGTTAGCCAACGAGGGACAGAATTGCCGAACGACTTTAATTCAATGATTTGATGTCATTAGCTGTCCCATGTACTGTGTTATCAAGAAAAGTTCAAATTATGTGCCTTTGAATGGGTGGTGGGAGGGAAAATGGAGGCCGGCGTGGAGACGATAATTGGGGTATTTCGTACTTAGTACCTTACGATACTGTACAGTCCCGCTGACGTCAAGCGACCGGAGCTGATTGGCCTACACCGGATAAGTTCTTGAGCTACACCAAGGTCATGAATTAGTCACGGTGCACAAGCAGAAAATGGTAACATGAAGGGGGAGCGAAAAAAAAAAACGCCAATTGAAAGGGGTTGGGGAAAGGGAAAAGACTCCAAAATATGTTATCTAACACCAGTCCGTTGTGTGTCTGTTCTCGCCATTCGGAACCCGAGGCGCATCCTCTACCAAGGTTAATTGGAAGGGAGAGGGGGAAATATCGGAATCCCTCCCGATAATCTGATCAGATAAAAATTTTCTCTTGTTATCTGATGGCGCCATCTTGCAACACCAGTAATTCGCTCACAGTTCGGCCCGGGAGATTTTTGAGACCTTACAGTGCAAAGGATGTGTACACACATGTTCTGGAGCTTGCATTCCAAGGGTGCTCCTCAAACTCGATGGGCGAGTATCATTTCCTTGACCGTTCAGTACTACTTGTCCTTCCTTTGATGTTGGCTCATTTGTACTGGCGGGACGTGGACACGGAAGGGGTTGCTTCACAAAGGCCCAAAATACCTCCGTACTATCCGTACGTACTATCCGTACCTACGGACCGGGAGTAGCAACCTAGCCGTATACGCGAGGGAGCATTGCGGCCCACTTACTGATTTCCGCTGATTGATTAGATGAGACCATGTCCCCCAAGACCCACCCGCACCTTCTCTCACAATCGGGTGCTTCTGACCCGTTGTTGGCTTCTGAATTCTGATAGCTTTGCTTGGAGCTTTTTTCAACGAGAGAGAAAAAGAAGAAGTTCACATAGAATTGTAGTCGCCTCAGTACACACCTGAACAGAATCCATATGCTGGCCCATTTATGATCGGTCATAGGCCAATGACTCTCTGAGGGGGGTCGGGAGAGAAGGGTTGACGGTTGATGAAAATCCAGGCGCCCCACTCCCAGCCCATGCGGTGCCCACAATACCAAGGCCCTAACAGAAGACGAGGGATAAAAAGGAACAAGTGCTTTTGCTGCCCGGCTCGGATAGCGCCTCAACCAGTCAGACCATAGGCCAGCAAGCAAATAGTCTCCATTGAGCTAGGTCTGTAAGACCTCTTTCTTTCCCGGGAGTTTCCTTCGCCGTGACAATGAGTATACTGTACGTAGTAATAACAATAGACTTGGGCAAACCTATCTCCTCTCCCGTATAATGTACCGAGCATACTACTATGTACAGTATATGGATATTGGTATTCTCTCTCGGGTGGATTAATACATGTATGTACATGCATTCATGCAGGTGAGCGCTAAACGGGCATTATGTCTCGAACCTGTCGCTAGGGCCTGATTCAACCAGCCACATCTGTAGACTCTGCTTCGGTCTGGACCTATCGTTGTCTGGTATGTATTGCACGTTGTGCCAACGCTGCATGATCCTCTCTTACTAGCTATGTTACCTCAAGTGAGGGGTCGGAGGTGTTCCCAACTCTCGGTTCCGTCTCTTACCTACCGGTTCATAGTCTCCATACTAAGATTTCGGCATTCATGGGCGTGCCCTTCGCAGCAAGAGAGCTAGCTTAGCTCGAAGGCTATTGTTTGAAGATTCCCACGTGTTCCTGGTACACATTGGTAACCTTAGAAGGTATATATGTACTATATGTGCTGTACTGTACATCATACATAGTATCAAGAAAACTGTGATCAGCGGTGTTGCTCGTCGGCCAAAACCGCCATTCTCCACTTTGAGTCAAAATCGCAGGGTTCAGCTGTCTTACACACTGCATGAAATACATACATAATGAGTAATATAAATGTCTTTGTGCCCTAATCAATCAGTGGCCCTTTGCCCTCCCTTCTTCCTTCTCTCTTCTCCTTCTCCTCCACCGCCTTCAACCCAATGGAAAATATTGATCTCAGGCTAGTCAGATTAGTACAGACACAGCGGTCGAGCCCACATGCTATAAGACACAAAGCCTTTCCATGCCCACTACCCATCTCAGCAAGCCAGTACATATAGGCCCGATAGAAACCACATACTCAGTAGATATGCACAGGTGTGATTGTGGGTGCACTACAGCCACTCTGTAACATTACACCACAGAAAAGACCTATCCACATGCAAATTCTTTACATATTCGTTGAAACACTCTATCGGCAATCACATGAAATAATAGTCATGATTGACTTGTTCTCAGTTACTATACTCATTTGGGGAAAGGTGAAGTAGAGATTCAGAAAGAACGAGACAGCCAACAAGGTTCCATGGGATGAAAGGAAGTGGTGGTGTAGCCTGTATGTATGTACCTATGTACCTATACTTACCCTGATAAGTACCTACCTCCTACACTACTCATGCTAGTCCATGGCGCCTGCCGAGATAAGATCTTAGCATGATTGTCGGTTTTTGAAATTTGCGACATCGGATCTTTTTCTACATAGTACGTGGTCCTGTGTATATTACTGCGGTATGCTTGGTGACTACGTCTTGTACTGGTAATGTAAATACCGGTAAGTTACATCATATCGTACAGGCAAAAAAATTATGAACATTAACATGGAAGGATGTTTGCGGTTCCACTTGTGCATACACATACATGCGCCCAGTCCCTCCCTATTCGGCTTCGAGAGGTCTCTGCAGCTTTCTTTACAATCCCTGCGCTGGAATTGAACTCCCCTTTGGTGGCTCTGACCCTTCGTCATGGCACTGTTCTAGGTATGATTATGAGAGATCCATCAATCGCAGTTTCGGCAGATTCAAGCGTAGGTGTCGAACTCAGATATCCTGCAATCCTCATATGCCAAGGCCATCGGTGACTATCATCTAGAATATTCGAGTATGCAAAGCATAACATATCGAAACAGTGATAAGCCAAGAACAGGTAACGATTGCCATCTATGAGAGGTTCATCCATGCATATCCGTTCCGCACGGATTCGCGCGACGCTGATCTGCAACCTCCCCTCCCAAGCATGAGACTGTCATAGTATCTGGTTCTTGATTCAAGGACTCTGAAGTCGTTAAGAAAGCGAGATGATTTAAGCATTTTGCTCCAGGTCATTGTCGGCCAGGCTACGGTAGCCCCCGCCGCTGTGCATTCGCAATGGAACCTCATACATTCGATTGTAATTGACAACTTCACCGCCAAGCATGGCAAAACCTGGCTCTCGTCGTCCAAAGTAGGGAGCAGGGTCGCACCAGAAATCCTGACAGTTAGTGACAATGCCACGGGAAAAGGGATTCTTTGGCCGGGCGGTACGTGGGCCGTCCCGTAACCCATCCCGCGCCGTTGCAAAGAATGTATCAACTCCCAAAAGAGAGGACCATTGTTGCAGGCAGCCATTCCGTTGGTGCCTATGTGAAACATTTTGCGCCAGAGCCGGATTGGGACCTTGACCGGCCGAAGAGAGGCCAGCTGCATCTAACGATGTCGTACCTGCCGTCACGGCCGAGGCAAATGCTCGTGAGCTTGGATAACTCCGGTCAATCGAATGGCCCCTCATGTTTTCGTAAGTCGTCTGGTTTCGGGAGATTTGGACAAGCTGAACGGCACAGAGCATAGTTATCCAAACCAGCTGAATGACCACCCAGATATCGAGAACTAGAGTAAATGTGTCACGGAGTACAAAACCACACAATGCATCATTTATGACGTTGCACTGTGGATTCACAGGAGCTGGAAGAATGTTGATATCTTAAGTTTCGTCAGCTGGAGCACGCTCCGCTTTGCGTTTCCCTTCAGATGAGCCAAGACCAACTTACAAATGAATGTCAGGCGCAAGAACAAGATGATGCCGAGTTCTAAGCAGATGATATACGAGACGAAGTGCCGCAGATTGTTCGCGCCAACACAGTTGTCGATCCATGGGCAATGGCTGCTTGAGGTTAGCGGGCGCTTTTCTGACAGCGACTGGCGGGAACCTCACTGATCATGCTTTGCGACGCATCGCCCACAACGCTTGCAATGCTTGCTTCGCAAAGGCTTTCGAATCATACACGAGACGCAGAAATTTTCCTCGTCAAATTTCCACTGCTCGAATAGTTCGATAACTACGGCTCGTTGCTGATTCCTGCTGCCCATCTTCGGAACAAAACCTGGATCTTCGGTCATCGCACAGAAATAGAAGTATGCCGTCAGAGAAAAGAAAACAGTGAAGGAGATGTTAAGAATCGGTGATGAGAAGAACGTCGCTAAGCGTGGGCTAGTCAGTTCAAATAGTCCCTCACCCCTCTCAATGCGCGGATCATGCCTTGGAGATGGACGAGGCGGCCTGAGGGAATGGAAGATGAGAATTACTGACCAGGTAGCAGGTAGAAGGCGTATCTAAAACCAACCCAGAAAAGGGAGCCTGCAAAGACCCCAGACAGGTAAGGCTTAGTTCAAAATCAGCGCTATTACGTGACATGGATTGAGGCACAATCGGTGCTTGCTTACCGTCTTTTGGAGGATTCGATACTCTGAAGGGCCTTGATTAGCAACTTTTTGAGCCATCCATTGAAGACCATAGACCGTAAGCAGCATGAGCGGGATAGCGAAAAACACAACCACATTGCTGAGAATCCAGACAGCTGCAAATATCATAAAGAAAGGCCACAGGAAGAAGAACCTCGACATGGCGATCTTACTCCGCACCCAAGGCGTCAGGCCCATAGGCAGGATTTTGGCGTTTCCGTCGAAGTCATGACCACATTCGTCTAAAGCGCGATACCATATCCGGGTCGTATTCATCTCACTCGCTACGGTTGCTGGCGTTTTACCATCCCTGGTTCTTGCGAACCTATCTGCACCATACTCTATGAGCTTATGGACGCAAGGAAGAGATCCCTTGACCAAAGCCCAATGGAGAGGGGTTAGACCGCCATCATCAACCGCATTGGCGTTGGCACCCCAACGCAAGTAGATATCCACACATGCTGGGTAACCTTTATACGCCGCCCACATTAGACCTGTGTGGCCTTGTTGGTCGGGAACATCCACCGGAATTTCCTGGTGTAGAAGAAGCACAAGCAGGAATGCATTTCCATCAATCGTGGCAAGATGTAGAATATTGTAGCCTTGGACATCGGTAAGAAGAGGATCTGCGCCATGCTGTAGTAAGAGGTGTACGATATAATAGTGGCAACGTTGCGCTGCCCACATAGCCGGAGTAGCCACCGATTCTCCCCCCTTGGCATTAACATCGGCACCAGAATCAAGAAGGAATTTGCACATAGCATATTGATTGTTTATAGCAGCCCACTGAAGTGAAAAGACACAATGTCGGTCAGCAAATTATGACGCAATGAGGACTAGGCAGTAGGAACTGCGCGAAGTGGGAATTGTGCCACATTCTTGAGCAATATAGACATACATGTAATGGGGTAATTCCTTCCTCATCCTTGTGGTCAGCTGTGAATTTTTTCTCATCGAATAATTTCTGCATGACTGAGATCTCTCCGATGCGAGCAATCTGCATAATGTCCTCGCCAAGTCGAATCGCACCCTTTATATTGCTCCGCTCTGTCTTCATACTCTGAAGTTCGACGGTCGCCTCATGCTGGGTCAATTTTGGAGGGGAAGTACTGCTCTTGCCGCTGGGCAAGGACGGTGGACTGCCCAGTCCCGCAGATTCGCGGTTATTCTGCGGTCCAGTTGAGGAAGTCCCTGACGACATTTCGAATGCAAGACGATTTCTGCGGTTGCAAGATGAAGCAACAGCCCTTGAGTTACGGCGGAAGAAGATAGAGAATGGCAGGACAGTTGCGGAACGAAGGGGGTAAAGTCGTTTTTGGAGATTGACTAGCTGGGAAAGTACTCTCGACACATCTAATGACGCATAGCGGAGATCCAGTAACAGGTGATTTATTGAGAAAAGAAGAGGTCAACAACACGGACGTGCCTTCTAAATCTCAATGACTGTCTCTGAAGGCGATGATAATGCAGGAAAAATATCAAAAACAATAATGGAGAAAAAAGCAACCGGACGAACGGGGTCCGGAAAGAACACCTCTATTTGTTGTATGGCGGAGTCGACAAAGGTGGAAGATGCGCGCGCGGTTGGGCTGGGGACTGGGCTGACCAACTGCCTGGGGGCCTGGGGGCCTGGGGGCCTGGGGGCCTGGGGCCATCTACAGGGACGATGGCTAAGTTAGGTACGGAGTACTCAGCCACTCATTAATAATATGCTTCTAAGTGGTTGGATAGCATTTGAGAGTTCCCTCCACTATGTTGAATATGGTGACTTTCTCGACATTGTTCTCGCCATTGGGCGAATTCAAAGTCAATCCTTCCACACTAATTTAACGAGACAGTAAAAATTCAAATAAGATGTCGCTGTATGTAATTGCATATATACGATGTCGTTATCCAAGATTCTCTTTCCAAACCTCAGCTTTTGACTAAACGAATCACTAACTAATTGACTACTAAACAGCTAGCCAACCAGTTAATCGAATGGTGGTCAGACTAGGCAGCCGCATTCAAGGTGCGATCAAAGCAAAGTTTCTGTTGTTTAACCCATGCCATCGCCTCCAATAGAATCAACTATTCATACCCACGGAGCTTTCTGATCGAAGGTCGCACCCAACAGTCAGTGGAAACTGGTTACCAGTCAAGAAATATCATGAACCATTATCACTGGGTATCAATACCAAAGAAAAAAGAAAAAGAAAAAAAAGAAAAGAGGGGAAAAAGGGGGGGGGGGGAAAATAATGATAATAATATGCAAAATCATCCTCCGAGATGCTGAGCAAACGTACGTCGTTCTTCCATGACAAGCACAGCGTAAGTCGTAGCAAGGAAAGCAGTCAACATGCCCTCACTCTTGGCATGAGAAGCCCTCAACTGCTTCGGGGGGATTGTCGCCAGTAATATCCAATCCGGCTTGAAGTAGCCTTGCCTGCTCAGATAACATGTGCGCATCAACCCGTAGATCGAAATCTGCCAAAAAGCAGAAACTGACTTCGAGTTTCGACAGCTCACGTTCGGTCACTCCGCCAACCTTAGCAACCCGGCTGTGTGGATAATTTAGGTCTTCCAAAGTTTTCATTGCAACTCGAAGCCCAGCAAGAACTAGACGGTGCATATTCCTTCCATTGACCTGTATCACTTTCTCAGTATTAACCATTCTGGTGATATACATGCTAGTAGCCAGATAAACGCCTGTGGACATGGGGCAATATTGGTGAAGGCGTAGTAGGTAATCTCTCAGAGTGATCGGTGGTACCCGCTTCGACAGAAACCTCTTGGAAAGCACACTCTGTTGAACAAGGTCGTGCCCCAATTTCTCGTCATTAGCTGGAAAGCAATGCAATTCGGAGGCTCTAATGGGTGTGGTCTCGCCACTAGAGATGTTGTCACCGGGTGTCCGAACACCGGGAGGCGCGGCGAGTATTTGAGAAAAGTGTGGATCTTCCGAGGATGATTTCAAGAGGATTTCGATGCTGGAGCACAATAACCTCAGTGCAGTGCTCGGAGGGATTTGGAAAACGTCGGCTACAAGCCAAGCCTTCGAGTCGTGCCCAGTGCCAGCGTGTAAAACACACCGATCGGAGATCTCTGCTAAGGTTGTAACAGCAGGTAGAATTTGAACCACTTCACATTCACTTCCTGGGTGATTCATTGTGAAGTGCTGCGGAGAAAGGCAGAAACAAGCGTGGTAGTATGTAGAGCGGCCTTGAACCTACAGGCGAAGATTAACCTCTCTAATAGGGATGGCATGGTATGACTGAGTCCAGCGAATAAGTATACTAGTCGAACCACATCGAATGATTGTTGACCCAAGTATAGATTATTTCTGGAAGCAAGAGAGGTATGACGGGATTGTGCAAAGGAAAAGGCGAGTCCTTCAGTCAGTTGCAACGTTGAGGAACATATGTTGACTGCTGCAGGCGCGGTCGATGCCTCAGTCAACTTCTGATTGATTATGGTGGGGGGGTCATTTCACGGTACCTGCATGTAATTGGAATAGTCAACGACGGCTTGAAAAGCCAAATCAAAGCCGAGTAAATATGAATCAAGCGTCCTCTTTGCGCGGCATCCATCCAAAACATAAACAAATGCTGAATCTGGCAGACTTGCTCAATATGAGAATGGACCGGACATTAGTTCGTCCGGTTTCGTGCACCCAACCCCTTTCACTTCAATCGCCGAACACCTCGTAGGGATGGATAGTCTAATCTTTCATTTAGTTCACCCCAGATTGCTCGGGACTCGCAGAAAGAGGATTAATTAGTGCGACAGTCAGAAATTTTCTGCAATGCAAACAATTTTGAAACACTTGGGTCTCCATTCTATTTCGCTCATCGATTGTCGAGCTCAGGGATTATGAAGAGAGCCACGACACCGACACTAGCCGATTACTAATTTGGAGCTTCATTCGGTCATGGACAGTTCACTAAGACGCATACATGTGCAAGACCGAAGTTATTTACCAAATTTTGCATCATATCCATGTCCTAGACACGATATACCTGTCCTTCCCATCTCTTCAAGAAAATCTCCAGGCGTGAACCGCTTCTAGAAAGCATATCAGGCTTCAGTCTCTTCACCCTTTCCTGAATCAGTCCTAGTTCAGCTTCGAGTTCAGAAATCAGGAGCTTATGGTCAATATTGGAGAGTGACGCCTTGGAACCCGAACTGGTTTGGAGTCGAGGCAGAAGAAATTGGATTGCCGAATCGGTAGGAAACAAAGCCGCTTTCAGTGGCGAATCTGCAGCCAAACCATAGTCTTTCGAAGACTCTACGAGATTGCGTCTCTTTTCCTGCAAAGAGTTTATGAGCCCACCTCTTGCTTTAAGTGATAGATTTTCCAGGGTTAAGCCCACTCTGCGTATCAGAGCTGCGAGAGCTTGGACCTCGGAGAGCGGGACAGAATGGCCTCTTGAAGAGATATTCAGAGACGCTGCCCGTGGGACTTGGATCTTCACTGTCCTCTGCTTTGGAGCAGATGAGGCCAGAAGCAACTCGCCTATTTCAGTCTTATATGCAGCAGTAAAGGCTTCAAGTGTCCCGCAAGACGAATCCTGCTCCTGTAATCCTTTAGTACACTCTCTCATAGTCACTACCATCTGCGAAAGAATGCCTCCGATCTGCAAATATAATCAGCAATTGCACCCAATCTTTCGACGAGTGACCTACAAGGTGCAGTTTCTGATTCGAGGATGCACATAGCGCACCGTGGTGTGATTGGATTTCGCGATGTATGGGATCGACAAGTTGCTGTATAGTAGACAATTCTGCGAGGATGCCAATCTCAGAGTACAATGACCCCAGCTCTGCCTCGAGGGCTTCCGATACATCAGAATCTGCCCGTGTTGTCTCGTCCTGCATTACCCCATGGACCTTCTGTACAATTTCCAAGTATAGGCGGTCAAGACGGTGCTCTATCTCTCCAGCGACATACTGAGCATGATGTACACCCAGATCCGTAGCCTGCCTGGAAATAGAAGCATCGTTCCCAGCATACTCAATGCCGTGGGCAACTCTTTCAAGGTGTGCGAGGGTTTTTTCATCGTCCTTCAATCTAGTAGTCAGAGAAGAGAGTAATCTTCTCCCTTCCGTTGCCACCTTCTCCAATTCCGATTTGACGTCGAGTTCCAGTTCAAGAGAGGTTTCAAGAAACTGAACAGACTATAAGCAACTAGCCCCGGATTTCAATTCACCCCACAAGTGACTTACTACGGCTGTAGCAGTCTGCCTCCCGGATAGAGTCTTCAAACGCAATCTTTCTGCATCCCTCTTGAACCCGAGCTCTCCTTTTTCCTTTTGATAAAGCCGTCTGTTCATAGTCTCGCATTGTGAAGAGAAGATATTCTTCTGCCGTAAGATTGCGGTCGTAGAAGCGTTAAGTGAATCGATCGCTTGCTGAAGTTCTTTTTCGAGAAATGGCCGAGTTGCGCGGGTACTTCGATTATTGAGTAGTTTGCTCAGGACACCCGATTTTTCGAGAGCAGAATGTCTGCAGGCTCAAGAAGAAGCAGGGGTTAGTTAGTCAAAGGTGGGTTTTTATTATGTACGCAGGGCGTGATGGGTACAATGTAAACTCTTCTTGTGACAATAGTAACTCGCTGGTGATATGCTCCGTCACCCACTTGGCATGAGCTGCAGCGCCTCCCGCATTACTGAAAACTGACAAGACCTTATTTCGATCGATCGGGATATTGCGCTCCCTGAAAGTATTGATGACAAGAGGTGTTGACTCCATTGGATTGACGGGGTCGAACATCGGCACGTTGGCTCTGCAAGTCAGCCGCACACGGCCTAGAAATAGGATGCATCGGTCAACAATGGGAAGCCTCGGCACATCATTTTGAGGGTGGCCAAGCAAACCCCGTTCTTCACCACCATCCAACATACAACTTACTACATGCTGTAAAAGAAGTGGCTACGTACAAGCCAGTTGAAGAAATCAAAACGAGAACGGAATTCGAAATCGTTACTGAAAATTACACCCGGGAATGACTTTCCCCTCAAGAGATATCGTCTAGTCAAGGAACTTACTTGCACAAATTTGATGTCGAATAAGGTCTGCTGCAATCGACCTTCGCCTCCAGTATGAACATAACACGAAAACGCCCTCTCAATAGCTACACCAATCATGCATCTGACCCACCTTGCGGCTCAATCTGGGGGTAATACCATGTGCTCACGGCTATAATCACGTATACCAAAACACACAGACCCCCTTCAAGGTAATTTGATTTACCGTCACGGAGGAAATTGCCGACAACAAGAATAGACAACACTACCAGAACAATCATGAAGATCTCGAAGTTCAGGCCCAAGTCTTTGCCTAGACCCCACCCAACAATCACTGCCAAAGGCGCATTCAGCAAAGCCGTCTGAATAGATGGCCCCAGGCAGTGGAAGAGAGCGAAGTTGATCTGATTGTCCCTGAACAGATAGTCAGCAGAGACCGGCAAACGATAAGCTGTTGCAGTACGTGGTCGGGGGGCATCCAAAAGATTCACTTACCAAGCTTCATCAATTGCAGTTAAATGCTCTGCCGCCTTTTCGACCAAAGGCACAAGGATAAGACCAACAAAATTGTCGGACACTCCTCTATCGACAATGTGCTCGATTTCTTCTACCAAGAAAACTGCTGACATGCAGACACAAGCGAGGGATGTCGCAATAGCGATGAAGCATTCGACTAGAGTGAGCTTTGCACGCTTCATTTCCTTTTCTCTGTCCTCATCCTGATGCTCGTCGAACTCTAGGACTTCGTCAAAAATGCTGTGGTGACTGTGAAGATTGTAGAATAGATACCTGAACCGGTTAGTAGGATGCTAGATAAACAAGTGCTATTGCAGGCATCCACTTACATCAGGAACGCGACCAGGAGGATCACGGCGGTGGCTCGACTGATGATCAAAGTAGACTGGTTTAGTTGTGCTGGTGTAATCTGTGTATGTGTTGAGCTGCTACTCAAAGCCGAGTAGAAGGCACTGGGAATCAATAGACCAAAGCCTGCTACCAGCAGCAGCCCGGATCCTACTTCACTCACGGCTTCATGAAATGACTGCTCCTCCCGTGTAATACCACCAAAAAAGAAACAAAGACCCAAGCAGAGTAAGAGATTTGCCAGCACGGAACCCAGAATCGCAGCCTGAATGACTGGGATGAGGTCGCCATTTCTATCGTTATGGATCAGAACCATGAAGAGAACAATTTCCACCACAGAGCTTAGTGTTGTCTCCAGAAGGACGCCAAACACTTTGGGCAGCTTCTTCGCAAGCTCTCCCCCCGCAAACCCGAGCAGATTAGCGGAGGGTACCATAGCTATGTAATTGAGAGCGAACACCCAAATATGTAGGTCTGGCCGTGCAAAATGGATGGCGATAGCAGCTGGGACAAATGGCCAGAGCACGTTGACCAGCATGGACAAGGTACACGTGCTTCGCAAGCAGACCCGCAGGAAGTGAACCGGGTGAATACCAGTTCGGCCGCTTTCTCCCGCGGTATCGATGCGAAACAATCCATGATGTCGTTTACGGGTTTGTTTATTATGCGCGGGAAGCACTGTATTGTCTCGCGACCCGTCAGCCACGTGCATAGGATCTGGCGATAAGACCCCGAGGGCACCTTGAAGACCTTCCCGTCGCCCGGATTGCGAACGCTGGCTCATGTCGCTGTACAACGTGTAAATCGTGAGGGTTGTGCACACAAACGCCCTTGATCGAGATTCACGAATCGCTTGCTGAAATTTCCTGTTCTAGGTTATGGTAAAAGGGTGGGAAGACAGAAGAACTAGGCTCGCACGTCTTATTACTGACGAAAAAAAGCCGATATGATCATGGACATCGGAAGCCGGAGGTGAAGAGGAGGCAAAGAGGGAAGTAATCCTCAAAGAAGATATGCAGGTAATCTTCGATACTGAGGCATGATGGGCTAGAACCAGAAGCCCGCGCATATATATATAAGAAATGAAGATTTGAGACCTCAAGACCAAACGAGGGTCTTGGCAAATGTGTTGGCAGCTGGCGAAAGGTCGATCGTACATAGTATGTAGTCTAGTTCTATCCTGGTCCCACGCGGCTGGATAGTACTGTACAGTACGTAGTAACTTACTTCATAACTAGTAAGTTAACTAAGTTATTCCTGTAGCATGGAGTCTAGCCTTCTAGATCGAGCTCAGACAGTCAGCACCAGCTGAGTAGCCGGACCAATTTTCAAATACCCTGTAGTGGATTAATTGTGCCTACACAGGTTATTCAGGTTACTTAGGCGCCGATGAGAGTTCCATGAATAGCCATGATTATTGACCAGTTTTTTTTTTGTGCCCGAGAGCATTGCTAAAGTATCGAAGCCGAACAGGCCAAACACCACTGAGCGGACCTTTAAGCATACTCAAACTTAGTTGGAGTAGAGGCATCTTGCAAGGTACAGTACACTTGTACTGTAGCCTCACGCTATAACGAATTCCCGTAAAGACGAAGTCTTGCCGTATAACGAAATCATACAACCGCCAGATTGGTTTTACCATACAGAATTTGTAGTGTTGTCTTATAACAAAACTCGTACAAAAGTGTTCTTTTCTACATATAATATTTGTTATGTCGAAGGGGCAAAGTTACTTGAATAGGAAATTCTTGAGAGAAAATTAGTAGATTTAATAGATTTCTGCTTAATCAGCATTTTTCAAAATCTGCTTAAACCATATAAAAGGCCCTTTACACCTAGTTGATATAAGACATATTTCAATATAATAAACAAAAGGGGCTGTCTCAATTAATTCGTTATATCGTGAGGCTACAGTACTGTAACCCAACGGTGCCCGCCGCCAAGAACACAGCCACAGCAGCAGGGAGTCTATAGCAAGTGCCCAGACTCATCCCGTATCCGTACAGTACAGTACATACATAGTACGGTGTACAGAGCATGTAGTTAAGTATGGAGTAGTGAGCATCGAGTACTCATCGTGTTAAAACAGCCCATAAGCCTGAGCTGACCTCGAGGAACCCAGCTGAAAGCGGGCTTCAGGTTCTGAAGATGAGCATGTGCTATATTCCATAATAAGTCGAGCTGGAAATGAATGTCTGAGAGTATAGTCCCAGCCCAGCCGACGGCTACGGCTACCGTCGGACGTTAGGAGGAGGGGGGGAGAGATTACGAGATTTTTATCCAGATTTTCTCATTCCCTCAGTAGTTATTCCTTCCCATTCCCTCGTTTTTGCTACTTTTCGCATTCTCCTCCTTTTTGTCTTTGTGTGTGTGTTCAGACTTATCCCAGAGCACAAACTTCCATCTACTTATAACTTTGGTTGCCTTTCAATCTTTATCCCTCAATATCTTACCGTTCACATCTCGCATTATCCGCAGTCGGCGCTTTCCTCCCTCAATCATCAGCTATGTCGTCTATAACCGCTCCCGCCGTCCCTCCGGTGGCCCTCGAGACCATCACTCAACACATTGGTAATACGCCTCTAGTACGGTTGAATAGATTACCGCGCAGCTTGGGCATTGAGGCCACGGTGTATGCGAAATTGGAATTTTTCAACGCAGGAGGAAGCGTGAAGGACAGGATTGCCTTGCGCATGATTGAAGAAGCAGAGCGGTCAGGGCGCATCAAGCCCGGTGATACTTTAATTGAGCCTACTAGTGGAAACACGTACGTTGCCTCAGGCCTTCGCTACGCTTGTCTCTCTGGAAAGCATGAGCTGAATTAATATTTGCTTTCAGTGGTATTGGTCTTGCTCTTGTCGCCGCTGTCAAAGGTGAGTCGTCTTGCTCGGATCATTTGACCCCAAGTCTCAGGTTGCCAATGTCTAACCTTTCTGCTGCGTTTTGTATAAGGCTACAAGACAATCATCACTCTCCCCGAAAAGATGTCTGCTGAAAAGGTTGCTGTACTGCGAGCCCTGAATGCCACCATCATTCGCACACCCAACGAAGCTGCTTTCGACTCTCCCGAATCTCACATCGGTGTGGCGAAGCGCCTTGAGAAGGAGCTTCCAAACGCGCATATATTGGATCAATATGGCAACGAGAACAATCCGTTGGCACATGAGTTAGGGACAGCTGAGGAAATCTGGACCCAGACGCAAGGACAGATCACGGCAATCGTTGCCGGTGCAGGAACCGGCGGAACTATCACCGGTCTAGCTCGGGGCTTAAAAAAGCATAATCCCAGTGTTCAGGTCATAGCTGCTGACCCTCATGGTTCGATCTTGGCTCTCCCTGCTATATTGAATCAGGAGCATCTTAATGAGCCCTACAAAGTGGAAGGAATTGGCTACGACTTTATTCCCGAAGTCCTGGATCAGAAACTTGTTGACAAGTGGTACAAAACTGCTGATAAGGAGTCTTTCCAGTACGCTCGTCGCCTAATTGCAGAGGAAGGGCTTCTTGTTGGCGGAAGTAGTGGTAGTGCCATTGCGGCCTTGGTTCAGGCCGCCGAAGACCAGAGATTCGGCAAGGATGATGTGGTAGTTGTAGTCTTACCGGACAGCATCAGAAGCTACCTTACCAAGGTATTTTATTGTTTCCCATACAACTATATAAGGTGGCCATTATCCTAATTGATTACAGTTTGCGGATGATGACTGGCTTGCTGCGAACGGGCTCCTGACAGCTCCCGCCACTGCCCCAGCATCCTTGTCTCCAACGCTAAAGCCTCAAGGACAACAAGATGCATTTTCCGGCTCAAAGGTCAAAGCCCTAAGACTCAAACCGATTACCACGGTTCGATCGAATATTCCATGCGAAACCGCCATTGAGATGATGCGTGACAGAGGTTTCGATCAACTTCCTGTTTTGGCAGCCTCTGGGAAGAAGCTTGTTGGGCTTCTCACCTTGGGCAACATTCTGAGTCGGCTTACCCATGGACGTGCTACAGGCAAGAGCCCTGTGGCGGATGTCATGTTCGATTTCAGCAAAATACCTGAAGTTGTCACAGATCCCAGAGATATGGGCATGGCGAAGCCCCAGGACGCGCAACAGGCATCTCAGATCCAGAACCGGAAATTTGTTGAGATCACCATGGAAACGCCCCTTACTGTGTTAAATCGATTCCTGGAATGGAACAGTGCAGCCGTTGTCACCGAGAGAGGCGAGAACGGAGCTATGAAGCCAGTAGCAGTTGCCACGAAAGTCGACCTGTTAAGTTGGATGCTTCGTCACAGTGAGAATGGCGCCTCAGAGTCTCAATAGAAACAGTCTTCTCGCATACTGTCTGTTTTGGCGCGCGATTCTGTCTGGGCTACGTCCTCCTTTTTGCTCATAAGCCCGGGCCTGCTAGCACCATCGGCCGCCACGCTATTATATCCTTAATGAAGAACGGGGTGTTGTGGAGTATATGGTGGAATCTATGGAGATGGTTTCAAGTGAGAAACGAAACATGACTGTTTTTATTCTCTTTTCTAGATTTGATTTTATATGCTATTGGGTTATATAAGGTTGGCACTACCGCTGGAGTCAGAACTACAATTAACCACATCAGCGATGGCCAGTTGTTGCAATCTTCCTTTACAAGATGCAACTTGGTAGAGCTCTTAAAGACACCTTGCATTGCTGGCACTATGATGTGCACTCTTCATCGCGATAGCATTTTCAATTGATAAATTGCTAGTTCAATTCACACACAGCAGAGAATCTGGCCGTTCAGCACAATTTATTAACAAGAAGACTGTTTCAGTAACGGAAAATCTTTTCTGACAAATTAAAATACTAGTGAAATCTACCGCCATCTTAGTGAGATTGAATCGAATCATAAAAGTAGTCGGATCGTACAGCTAATACCTGTTCAAGATGCCAGAGGGTGCTCTGGCACCAATTATTGCTGTAAAGTCCTCAAGTACTGCAGCTTTCACGCTAAAGCTAGATACTCCTATTTGTGATTGTGATAACACTGTTAATCTCGAACGTTTTCTGACTATGAAACACAAGGTTTTGAACATCATTCCAGGGCCAACAACTATTGAGATGATGTTTGAGTCAACAATAACTAACGATTACCAGTCCTAATTGCAAGCTTGTTTCCGCAGATCCTCTGCTAATTAAAGTGTAGCAAAACCAGAATATGCCTAGATCCTTGTTACCACTATAGTATCGTATCCCTTGTGTCGTGAAGTGAGCTTGTTTAAATCCACCATACTCTATGATCTAATCCTTAAGTCACACTATACATGAGGTGTTTTAAGGATGATGCTTGTTCCTAATTAGTCTACAACCCCTTCACCAAAGCATACACATGTGATCACTAACATAGTTCCTTCATTGCTCTGTTTTTCACATCTCTTTGCCCAGTATATTGGCAAGTATGCCCATTGGCCCATGTGACATCTGGGGTTGATGAAATCTCGCCGGCAATGATAGACCTCGCACTCCGTCAGCCGTGAGTGTATACCTTACAGGCATTGACCTATCCATTCCTCCCATTTGCGCACACCAGATCCAAGATTGCTCTCTTCATCGCCCATGACTGCTCCTCCGACAATGTCTACTACTATACCAACTTCGTCTTTCAAAGACTGGAACGAGAATCTATCGTTGGGGTTGCTGCTGCCTAGAATATCGTCTTCGCCATCAGCAATTCCAGCGTCAACACTAGCATCCAGAAGATTTTTGCTTCGAGAGTTCCGGAGTTTACTAATCTCATCCTCCAATTTCTCCCGCACGGATCCAGGCGGTAGGGCGGTGAAGAGGTCTTGTTTGTTGGCAGCCACAAGCACAGGAACTTCAGATGCTGCTTTCTTTCCCCTACTCAAAGCACGTCTCTGAAGGATCAAGAGCACATCGTACAAGTAATGGGCTGTATCCCGTAGGGTTTCGGGGTTGGCAAGTACTGCAGTGTCCACCATGTACAAGACACCACGCAACTTCGACTTGGCATCCTTTGAGGCCGACATGGAGAGCAACTGCGAAATAGCATGGGATTCACGGAGTTTGCCATGACCAGGAGTGTCCATCAACCGATATTTGACCGGGTTCTTGGAAATATCCTTCAACGAAGTATCATTCACCGATCTGTAGCGATTTGAGGCGGTCGGCACCGAGGCGGAAAGGCTGATGGTAGCTGCAGTAGATGTTTGGGACGTATGAGTGACTCGAATATCTGTACGAGCAGGAGACGACTTTGCTTCGAGCTGGTACTCATGAGGAGTGTGTCAGCTAGACGTGGGAAAGCGAGAGAAAGAGCCTTCAAGGGAAGTCAGACCAGAGTCAAGAGAGCAGTCTTTCCAGCTCCATTAGGGCCCAAGAGCAAGAAATTGCTAGACGGTGGAGATGCAACCGTTCGGTAAAAGAGAAGATGCAATAGGACGGGCAGTCCGAACGCGATGAGGACCGTAATAGCAATCGCGATAGGGCTGCCGTCGAGCAAACTAGTAGCTATGCCTTCAAACGAAACCCAATCTCCGTGCGAACGCATTTCGATTGGATGCGCCCGTGAGATAGAGGTCTTTCTAGGCCGTTGAGCAAGATAATTTGCGCCGTGACAAAGGAGGAGTGCAGTGGTTGAGAGCAGGAAGAGAGGAGGAGCAGGGTGGAGAGTGCGAGTGAGCCATTAGAACATACGTAGCTAGATGGATAAGATTAACTCGCCTGGAGTGGGCCTTTCACAACCGACGCTAAAACCGCTTTCAACCGCAAGGCTCAGTTTTCAACCACCGTTCCATAGTCTCTAATGTACCTACCTGGCAGTAAGGTACGTAGCAAGATCAAGGCTGGATGGAGGTAAGCTTAGTGGATTTCCTGGGGAAGGGAGTGACGACCAGGCAGGTACCTACCAGTATCTCAGAGGTATTATCATACCATCTTCATTGAAAAGTTCATTTAAGGAATGGGGTTAGTGTATGAAGTCTAATCATGCAGAGTACTAGTAGGATGTTAACACCTGACGGCCATGATCCCGCTACATGCACTGTTCCCTTTCGGGGGCGCGTCCCTTGCTGCCAGCCAGGTGCAAATGCTATGGAGGGGGCCAGCATGCCGTCGATTGCAGGGGCAACACTAGGGCGTCGATTTCTCAACTCATCAGGTTACTCTGTTTGTTTAATTCTCTCGTCTTGCAAGTAAATGCCACAAGTGAATTCGCAGCATCATCTGCCTCTGAGAAACTGAGCTCTCCTTGTCTTTGTTTCTAAATTCTCTCTCTCACTCTCTCTCCTTTCTCTCTTCACAATATGATGGTCAGGCACCTAATATTGTTCCTTCTCTCTGCGTTGTTTCCACAAGCACTCGCGGATGTGGAGTTTATGATTCCACAACCCGGTGCCATCCTACGAATTGGGGACGTTCTTACGGCCCAGTGGAGGGAGTCAGGCAGGCTTCCTCTGATCTCTGACCTCCTACACTACGATCTCTATCTCTGCGCCGGCGGGGAGGTAGCGGGCACTTATGTGGGGCTCCTGTCCCTACATATAGTTTATGTATCTATCGGAAGCCTACTGACCATTGCGGGTGCTGCAGGAAGATGTAGCTCTGCTTTCGAGAGGAAACCTCTTTGCGAGGGGTAATTCACTATCCTTTACGCTTGACCGCAGTATAAGGGACAGTGATGCAAATACATAGTAAGGGGAATATGGCAGCGTGCATCTGCTGTGCCACACCATACCATCAAGTCATAATGAGCAGCCTATCGCTAACTCTAGCATCACTGACAGCTTTCTAAAAATGGTCTCTTGGGGCGCGGGTGCCTCCGTCATTAATGTTTCTGAGCAGTTCACTATAACTAATATGACCAGTCCTGTCTCAACATCCGTCTTGCACAGCTTGCCTCCCACAATTAACGACTCTGCACTTTCGGATTGTGAAATGTCCAGACATCATGAACCGCGAAAGAGACAAGTAGAAGAGGCTTTTACAGTCCCATATCAGTTGCAGATCGGGCCTACCAGATATGCGCCAATGGCCAAGAAGCCTGCAAGCACGATTCCAGCCAAATTGCCGACTCCCCAGTTTCCAGCAAGCGCATATACCATCGCCACAACCTATCTCCCCCCAGCAACCGTTCAGGTCACCCTCTCCGCCTCTGTGACATACTCGGTGGCCAGTATTGAGAATACTGTATGTTTTGAGTTGTTTCTTGCCCCGGCAGATGTCCTCTCAACCGTGGTGTGACCTCAAATATTGAGCTAACGGAATCCTGTACAGGCCTCTCCCGCACCACATTTGCAGGACGCACAAATGAGGCGATTCTTAGAACGATGGAAAGACTAGATTCAAATTCTCATAACAACGCTCAGCACCATCTCAATAAACGTTGATCTCCCTATCGTACTGCTCATGTCTTTCAATCGCTAGGCGGGTCATTACTGAGCACGTCTCGTGCACTCACCCGGGAAACCAGTAAAAGCTCATAAGATTGACCGGAGATTGCCCATGTTATCATAATGATAGATGGTCGTTTGATCACTGTAATTGATTTAGAATCAAGAAAGACCTAACTGATCATGATATCCTTGCGAGATCCCATCATAAGCTACTGTCAATTACTGAAAACTAGGTAATCTTAGCCAGGGATGGTAGCACCATAATCTTCAGTCTAACTGAGCTTTTCGGCGCAGCTGTATTGCTTAAGAATTAAGATGGGAGAGGGGGAGGATAGCCTAGAAGCCTACCGAATAGGTCTTTCAAGTGTTCGAAGAATGTAATCAAAAACTCAGTATCAGCACCTAGCTTGAGACTCTGGTGGGATCTATCGACCTGAGCTGTCATCGGTCTGCAGAAAGGCGATATTCTCACGGAGCGCCACATATTCACTATCGGCATACCCAAGTAGCGTATGGATTTGTGTGCTCCTGTGGCCCTTAACGCGCTCAATCTCGATACTGCCATAATTGACCAATGCACGTCCAACTTCCTTGGGCTCTTGTCCATGATGAAGGAAATCGCCATCGAGAGAGTCTGGAGAAACTTTCCCAATCACGACTAACCTTACCACTTCTTGTTGAGAGAAGTGACCTTCCACCCCGATTACACCGGCAGGGAGCAGACTGGCCTTTTTCTGAAGAGCACTATATGCACCGTGGTCTATATAGACTGTACCCCTGGGCTTCATTCCGTGAAGAAGCCAAAATGATCGGGATTGTATCGGATTCTCGGATGGAATGAATCGCGTGTGTAGCGGAGGCGAAGCCCGAGAGTTGCTTGATACCTCAAAGCTCTCGACTGGTTCAGCCACTGCATCTGTTACAGTAGACCTTCGACTCTGCTGTTGGAGATAATTGACAATATCATGTACATTTCCGGGCTTCGAACTCCTAGTGATGATAGTCGTTACGCCAGCACTAGTTCCAAGCTTTGCAGCGATGATCTTGGTACCCATACCACCGGTACCTAGAGATGATCCAGCCGATGAAACATCTGCTTCCAAGGTTGAAATATCTGTGACAACTTCAATTGGGCGCGCGTCGGGATTTGTACGGGGATTAGCAGTATAGAGACAATCAACATCCGTCATCAGGAAGAGGTAATCGGCCTTGACCATCGCTGCTGTGATTGCTGATAGTGTATCGTTGTCACCAAATTTAATTTCCTGGTAAAGTCAGTATAGCATTCCGCGACGCAATAGGTGAGGACGAAGGGTCAACCTACGGAAACAGCCAAAGTATCGTTCTCATTGACAATCGGGATTACACCCATATCGAATAGTTGCGAGAAGGTATTTTGGGCATTGATGTATTGTGTTCTCTATTGTCTTGTTAAAGATGGTGAACCATTCTCGTTAGTTGACAACGATGCTTACATCGGCAATATCGTTCCTAGTTAACAGGATTTGGGCTACTGGGAGACGCAGGTGCGCAAACAGACCATCCCAAAGACTCATCAGCCTACACTGGCCAACGGCAGCCAATGCCTAGAACACCATGGTCAGTACTTGCGAATCTAACGCCTGCACAAATCAATTCCCTATTGTATACCTGTATCCGAGGTAAGTGTTTAGGTCTCTCTTCCACATCCATTCTTCGCAACCCCACACCAACAGCGCCAGACGAAACAAGAACAACATTATGACCTTCTCTGTGAAGCTTGGCAACTGTTTCGACTATGAGCGTAAGGATGGACAGTATAGGTTCATGGGTGTTCTCGTCTACTATGGAACTGGTTCCTGCGCATCAAGTTCTCGTTAGTTTCTGCCTTCGGTCAATCATTGCATAATCCGCACCTAGCTTGATGACAATGGTCAGACGCTTAAAGACCATTGTGATTTGAGACTCAAATGAATCGAATGATCAGCTTTCAACCATGATTATTGCACAGTGCTACTGTGGGTCATTGGAAGTTGGCTCTGGTTGTTGCTGTGAGTCAGCTGCAATGACCCACCTACCAAGACACCCTTTCTGCCCGCTCTCACCGCCCATATACTGTACGGAGCTTGCCGCGGGATCACTTGTCGAGAGCACAAGGACAAGCGATTCCTGAGTAGAAGGGTATCTAAGCTATATCTCTCCTCCAGTGCTCATACATGATGACGGACTCTCGGGCAAATGATAACTCGTTAAAGACTGAAACCTCCAACAACAGTGGCTTCATTCCTGGTGACGACACCTGGACGCAATGGCGCAATGTCTTCGCTATCCTGACCGATAGAATGACCGATGAGGGCAAAGAACAATTCCGCATTGCGCGTGACACGCGGAATGAAGCTGCGGACTGCAAGCGCTGTGAGGACCAGCGAGACTATCTATTGCAATTCAGTGAGTCACATTCATATCTGCCTGCCAGCCTGCAATGAAGACCCATGAGTTCAATGGTGTAAACAGCCCGCTGATTGAATTCTCTTAAAGGTCCGGTGATCCGATTCATGAGCGACAGCATCCGCCAGCTAGGTGGTAATCTTTCCAGCCATAATATCTACTGTCGCCGATGTACCAGTCGAAAGGCAGGGGGTTTTGATCCTGACTACGGTATTCTGCTTTGCGCAAATGAAATGAAGGACCAGAGCCACTTAGAAGATACATTAGCACATGAGATGGTCCATGCCTATGATCACCTCAGGTTCAAAGTCGACTGGTCAAATAATCTTAGGCACGCTGCTTGTACAGAGGTAAAGAGCCATACCCTCAAGCCACCTGCGCCATCGGTAGATAAAAAATGACTAATCGTGAGTAGATTCGAGCCAGCTCGCTGAGCGGGGAATGCAGATGGGCACGAGAGTTTTTCCGAAGGGGTCAATGGAAACTGACCCAACAGCACCAAGAATGTGTACGACGAAGAGCGATCTTGTCGGTGCGGGCACGGCCGGGATGCAAAGATGAAGCCCACGCCGAGAAGGTGGTAAATGAAGTTTGGGACAGTTGCTTTAGAGATACTCGCCCCTTTGATGAGATTTATCGCTAGTTACGGATGTCCGTTCCCACCAAAACTCTTCCTTGAAGTGTTTGTCGTATGTTTAACTTGAAGTCCCAGTGCCAGTAAGATCGAACAAAACTCCATCGCTAATCAGGAAGACCAGCAGCCATATTAACAGTAAACGCCAGTGTAACCAATCCCGTGGTCGTGGACCATGGCCATGTGAAGGGAAACACTATAGAAGGGTAAGAACTTCTGAACTCCGAAACGCCCTCAAATGCCCGGACAGTACAGTCATGCTTTGACATCCTTTGATGTACCAGAACTCCGCTTTGTTTCCTTAACACAATGCTTGAGAATCCATGGATGACGTTGAATCTCATCCAGAGAAATTCGCCTCTCTGGGTCGAGTACAAGTAACTAAAAAGTTGTTAGAAGTGTTCGGCTAGGATTTGTGACATCTGCGTACTCTCTTAATTAGATCTTTTGCTTCTGGACTCACGAAGGACGGTACGGTCATGTCGGCTCTGGCAATTCTTCGCTGCGTCATGACAGGCGTATCTTCAAAGGGCGCTTCCCCAACTAGGAACTCGTATGTCAAAACACCAAGACTCCACAGATCAACCTTCTCATTGTAGTAATTGTCCTGAGATCCGGGTTTAAGCATCTCAGGGGGCAAGTAATCCAGTGTCCCGCACATTGTCTGCCTCCGATTGTTAGGTGCATGAACACTCCACCCAAAGTCACTGATCTTGATTTCACCATGAATACCAACAAGAATATTTTCTGGCTTGATGTCTCGGTGCATGACGTGCTTTTTGTGTAGGTATTTCAAAGCAGCAGCCATCTGAGCAATGTACTGCGCAGCCTTCCACTCAGGGAATCGATGTTCTTTTCGGAGATGCTTGTACAGTTCTCCTCGGCCGGCAAACTCGAGAATAAGGAAAATCCGTTTGCTATCGTGAAAGTGGCCATAAAGCCTCAAGACGTTCGGATGACGAAGGTTGCTTTGTATCTCAATCTCTCGTCGGACTTGCTTCTGCACTCCACCCTGCTGCAATTCGGATTTATGCAGTACCTTGAGTGCGCATACGAAGCCGGAGGCTCTCTCCTTGGCGAGATAAACTCTACCAAACTTCCCCTTCCCTAAAGGTTTGCCAATTTCAAACATGCCCAAGTGTAACTTTTTGGGGGACGGTTGGTCGTAGAGTGGAGTTAAGTGTCGTTGCTCCCCATTCTCGTCGAGATTACGGTGTGATAGCGTACTCTGAGAACTCTTAACCGGCGACAAATTGACGTTCATTGCATTCACTTTATTCTCATTAGTGTTCTGTAAAGCCAGCTTGAGTAAATTAGATCGGCCGGAGCCACTATATTGTCCGGCACTCGTAGGGGGCATGGCTGTTGACAATGAGATCTGTCAAGATCATTAGCAGCGTCCACCAAATATGAGGCGTAGGTAATATGACAACCTTGGACTTTTGATAAGCGCCGCCATTTTGCACGCTCTCATGTTCTTCTTTGACTGAAAGACGCTCGAGGCGCGCTTCAAGTGTCTTGGTAGCCATTTGCTGATGAGTGTGAAGCAGGTATGACTTTCGCGATGGAGGGTTTAAAAAAGCTAGCAGCTCAGTGTCGACACAGACTTTGATCAGAAGTTCTGGCTCAAGCTCGCAGTTCTGGGAACCACATAAGACGAGAGTTAGTACCGAATCGTAATGAGAAACAAGTCGAAGTTGAGTGAAACCATAGTCGCACGGATGTTTATCAGTTTCAAGGATATGCTCAGTTGCCCCAGCAACTCGTCGGTCCGCCTCTCCCTCCGGGACCCGCGGGGTATGACCTGCTTCGGTCTGGGGGAGTGAATAGCTGCTCAGACGAATCATACACCACCAACTGGAGGCTTCTTTGATACAGAATGAACATTTCCAGTTGCAGGCCTTCCGGCGAGGCGGATTCAGTCTCAATCTCGCCGCTTCGTCAGAGGCCGAAATCAATAGCAATCCAGGGCTTTACGGTCACTACTCAAACACTCCCGATATTAAAAGCAGAGCCCATAGAGAAGATGACGAAGGATTTAGGGATCACCCCCCCAGAAATGATTTTTGGCGACAACTACGTTGAGATTGCGCATGAGGGGGTTCCATGGAAAATTGCATTCAATGCATTTGATGCCTTGGATCGAGTTGATAAATCTGGCGAATCTATGCTACAAGTCGCCTACTCGAAGCAATGGCAAAGAAGCAGGTAACCGAATAAATTTATTTCCTACCAAGCGATCTTCCGCAAGATTTAAAGTCGTCGCTGAGGCTAACTTCTTTTAGAGAAAAAACTCATGAAGGTATCAAAGAGATTGTCAAGCCCTTCGACTGGTCTTACAGCACGGACTACACGGGGACTCTCGGCCCTGGTAGTCGACCGTTTGAGACAACGACCAAACGTATACCAACTGATCTACTCAAGCGGCCAGATCCGATTCTGTTCTATGATGATGTGGTTCTTTATGAGGACGAACTAGCTGACAACGGTATCTCCATGTTCTCATGTAAAATACGTGTTATGCCGGCTAGACTCCTGTTGCTCGCCCGCTTCTTCTTGAGACTCGACAATGTTCTGTTTCGACTCAGGGATACAAGGATCTATGTTGAGTTTGGTACTGGGGAGGTAATTCGAGAATACCAGTCCAAAGAATGTGATTATGAAACGGTGAGACAGGTAGGTTGCTACGTCGCTTTGCATGCTATAATATGGTTAATGAGTATTTCAAGGCTCTAGCCTTAACGAGGGACGATGTCCCAGCCGCTATGAGGGATCCCAACAGACTTTCAGAATTTCTCCGCCTTGTTGATACACGTCTAGAAAGGGCTGTCCTTGTGGCCAACTGACAGGCCTGGGTTCGGATCCAATTCAATCCCTCTGCACCCTCTTCCCCTTCCCCTTATACTCGGGGGAATGACACGTTCTTCACAAACCTCCACCACCCTTCTAATAAATGAGACCAGGTTGGGCTATACAATCTGTACATACTGGATTCTTCAAATCATTGACCTGTAGCTCCTCTCGTCTCACCTACATCTGCATCTGGTTAATTGGCACATACGTGTGGCATTACTTATCGGGCGAACTTTTGGAGCGCGTGTAATACTGTTAGGTCCCGTTATAACGAAACAATAGTAACGTGTTTATAAATCTGTTACATGTAAAGGGTTTCCGCTACATCGATTTGGTGTAAATCCCTTCCATGTCTAGGCAATGAGGTTTTGTACGGTTTGATGACTCTTCGGCCGCTCTGCTGCCCTCCGCACAGACTCCCGCACCCCATCAAAACACTACAGACTGCATAAGGTAGGGGTGGCCAATGGTCCCCTCGCTCACCGCTTGTAGCTAATGACGTGACTTTTTGTTTTTACAATGTCTGCAGACTAAGCTGTCTTCCTTTTTTTTGTACCTATTTTTTACTTTCAATTCCCTATTTAGGCCATTCTTATCGTCTCGATATAATCTTGTATGTAGAAAAGGTTATCTCTGTCCGGATTTTCTAATACAGGAATGAAGCAAATTTGGTATAATAAAATCTACTGGGCTGTTGTGGATAAGCGCTATTAACGCTGGTCGAATTTCTATTGCTACCTGTATTGTATTCGGAAATACAAGTCTCTATAGTAAAAATCGTCTTATATTAGAAATTACATGAGGGGTTTTTAGGGTTTTTAAAAGCCAAAGGTATTGTTATCAAAGAACTGTATAAAAATTTTTTTGCAACAGTATAATCAAAATGTTAAAATATAATATTTTTATATACAAACTAAGAATCTATATAGGTGCTGTATTTGATGAATCTACCAGCTTACTTACTTGCGTGGCTCGCTCGGCCGACGATTACATTAGTTAGTTAGTTATTTTGTGATTATTAAAAAGCAAGGGCAGTCAGTGCAAATGGTGCAAACGCGGATGACAGGCTATGATGACAACGAGCTCTATCTCAGGCAAACTTCGAACTTTTTACGCATGATGCAGGCTTAGCCTTCTGGATACCAGTAGCATGCAGACCCTCAAAATGCCGTTTAGTGCAATAAGATCCATACAGGCACAAGATCTGTGTCTAGTGCAGCATTCAAAATTCAAGGTATGTTTTACAATACGCCTGAACCGCTCTGATCATAGTCAATTAAACTGAATCTTGTAAGGTTCTTTCTCCCAACAGACTATCTAGACCATGTCTAGCCTCTTATCGATCTATTTGCAGCGCAAATAGTGTTTCGCAACAAGTGACTCACAATCTCCCGGTTCCGAAGAAGCGCTACGCCAGCCAACGACTTGAGCAGACCACATACCCAGTGTCTGGATTTCACTCACAAAGTGCTCTAGCTTCATCACAGCTAGCGCGGGCGATTGCTTCACGCCCTGGCACACCTGCAGAGACATACGTTGCGTATGGTTTGACTCAGAAGCTCTTCGAGGCCTGTTCTACCCAAGCAGAATACACTATACCGCAGTTGAATAAAAAAGGCGGACAGGTTCCCAAGACTGATGCCGGAGAAGATCTTGGGGTTGGCGAAGGATGGTGGTATAAAGGTCAGTTTACTTTCACATTCGGCGGAATCAATCTCCATCTCATATTGACGGATGAATTCTCGCCAGAATTGGGGCTTTTGCCCACATTTTCCACATGGTCACAAGTCACTTTCCTGCACATGTACCTATTAACTGCCCGACTACGTGCTCTGCCATCACATGAAAGCCTACAAACCTATTCACAACACTTGATCGACCACTTCTCGCACAACGCCGAGCATCGCATGGATGTACTTCATGGGTTGACCAGTCGTGCTATCAGGAATAAATTTCTCAAGGACCTATTTATCCAGTGGCGTGGTGCTTTGGCAGCTTACGATGAAGGCATAATCAAGGGGGATGCTGTACTCGGGGCCGCTATCTGGAGGAACTTGTGGAAGGCCGGTCACACCGCTCCTAACGGCGACGAAATGGATTGGACCAAGGTTGCCCTTGTTGTCGCATATATGCGACGGGTGCTGCATGATCTCTCTCTCGTGAGTGAGGCTGATCTGGCACTTCAGTTAGGACCTGAAAAGGGAGGCCGGCCTGGTATATTCTCATTCTCCCAGGCAGATAAGAAGCTGGTTTACGGGAAATAACTGGTTTGTTGGCCGTGCATTCCAGGTTCGAACCCCCTATTTCTGGCAGGCTGTAGATGTATTCTAATAAAACATTCTTCGTCATCACTGGGTTGGTCTGGTCACTAGAATTATTGGCCATGTCCCGCTCTGTCCGACGATCTCAGCGAACAATTTTTGGTCTAACAAACATACGGTCTAGAGGTCCTCTAAATGTAGGTCAGAGTTGCACTAGATGTGCGCCTGGTATGAAGAAATGGCTTCATCCATGTTATCCACCCCCTTGGGTTGCAACAAGTGATCAAAGCATAATGACAGGATGACAGGAGGACAGTATAAATCAGGCATCTTTCTTGCCAAACAAGTCCTTCTCGACCATAGCGCGGCATATAGGGTGATAGAAGGCCTTATTCTGCTCGAATGTTTCAACAGCGACTAGGCGATTGATCTTCTGCAAGCTTCTATACCTGTAGATTAAATCAGCGCCTGATTCCTTTACTTGCGAATGGATGGTCTGCGTACAAAGGTCTCACGAATTTCATCCTACCAATCCTACCAAGCAGTTTGGTTGTTGGTCCAATAACACTGCTGTCACCAGCTTTCAAGCCAACTTGGAAATAGAGATTGGCGACTTCGATGTTTTCGCTCTTTGCAAGTCCATAGACATCGCCCATGAGCCTCGACAACTCCGGTGTCAGTGGTCTCTCGAAGAGAAGCACCTGCTCCAGGAATACAACCATCTGATTGGCTGTGAGGTCATCAATATCATTAGGGTGTGGTATGAAAGAGGAGCCAGGAAGGACCTTCCACTTGTTTGAAAGGCTGTAGACAACGTCAACAAGCGAAGTATCAAACTCCGGCTTAGGAGGCAAGCCCGGCGCGTAGAACCATCTGTCCCAATCAAGCTCGTTCAAGAGCTTAGAAGCTTCCGCGTCAGACTCGAAGAATTCTAGCATGGTCGATTTGAATTGGTAGGAATCCAAGGATTTCTCCTTGAATACTGTAAAGTACTGTATCGAGAGGAATCAGAATATGTGCATAATATCTTCGCTGGGGCGACAGGCAAAATACATGAGGGATGAACTGGTCAAATTTATGCTTTCCAATCAGATTCTCCAGATAGAAAAGAAAGTTGAATCCCTTCTCATATGGAATACTAGAGAATGCATCATCAGGGTCTTTGCCTTTCAAATCCGTGACTAGTTTTGTGAATTCATGGTCATGGCCAAAATGCTCGACAGAATCTGTGAGGGCTTTCCAGCCTATGATAGCGGAGAAGTGGCGATATGACTCGCCATGACTTTAAAATAGTTAGTACTGGTGTGAAGAGTACACAAGGCTCTAGCACTTACACCACAGCAAGGATCTGTATTGATATTTGAGAAGGCAGGTTATACACTTTGTCGACGGATAGTAGCTAAAAGAAGTGGAAACGATTCGACTTACCCGCCTTTCCAAGTAGGTGGTCCAACCCTCGTTGAGCCAGAAATGCTCCCATGAAGCATTAGTCACAAGATTACCACTCCAGCTGTGCGCAAGTTCATGGGCAATGACATCGATGTTCTCCCTGTCCTGGTCAAGGTTAGCACCCATGGGCAATTAATCGGATTGGAATCCATCCACAACGATGTACCTTGGAAATAATACTGGGTGTGGCGAAAGTGAACACCGGGTTCTCCATTCCTCCATAGGGGAAGCTGGGTGGGAGGATCAAGACATTGTACTTCCCCCAAGCGTATGGGTAGACAATTCCCTAGGCCAGTGTTATAAAGCAATAGCACCTGAATTCTGACTGCGAACACACCTCGATTGCTTCGATGAACTTCTCCGTATCGGCCTCAAGCTCCCATTGGCATTCGCCGAGCTTGTCGGGGCTGCTAGCAACAATACTTCGGGGTCCAATTCCTGCCTCGGAAATATCACTGCAAATGGTCAATTCAGTGATCCACTTATCAAAGCTAGTTCACACCGAGGTCTATCAGGCACGCTTACCCACTGGCCAGAGCAAAAAGATAACTCGGAATGGGCACTCGCTGATGAAAGCGATACAGTGTCCTGTCGTTGGGTAGTGGCGTCCCCAGTGAGTCACGGACTGGCAGCCCACTCGCAATCACGGGCAATGGTGACGAGATGTTGAAATCAATGGTGGACTTGACGTCAGGTGTATCTTGACATGGAAAAATAGACCGAGCATGAATCGCCTGACATTGAGAGACTGTCGGAAGGACAAGCATGCGTGGTTAGTAGACGAAGTAACACTCAGGGTTTCTCGTTGTTAGAACGGGGAGAAAGCAATGCAACCCACACATGTACGGATGCCTTTTATTAGAGGTTTGCGCTGGTGTCAGCCACTGAAGGGCAGTGCATTTCTCAGTGGTTTGAAGAGCAATCTACGCACAAGTTCTGTATGTTAGGCTAAGGCTGGGATTACTCTCCGGTGAGGTACATACCTCGATGTCAATCGTCTCATTCTTCTTCACACTCCGGTCAAGTTTGATCTTCAACGCCCTGCCGTATGGGTCGGAGGATGGAAGAAGCTCCCAAGCCAAAGGCCTGCCATCCAGGGTGACGCTACCGATGTCCACATGGTTTGAGTCCAAGACGATCTCCGGCGACTCACCATCGATGGCTGACTGGAACGTCTGAGTGACGCTGCCCACAAGCTTTTTTTCATGAAACAGAATATCAAAATTGGCAGTGATGTGGTTGCATCGCCAATTGTGGTAATTGCTGAGGGTATTGGGATCCCTCGGGATATTGACGATAGTCGCCATGCTACGACGTGTGGAAGCTCGAGAAATTTGACCACTCCAGGATATGCGAATGAGGGGTCTGAAACTGAGAGTAGATGGAGACGTGCGGATTGTTCCCCACGAAAAGCTTGTTCGCCAGAGTAGGGCCAGAGAAACGCCGTGCATAACAAGAATAAATAACGGCACTAAAGGAAAATATGCCTGGGACAGTAAGTAGTGTGTCCCTACCCCTCCCCAAGTAGTATTGCTGTGGCAGTGACGGCAAGCGACTGGCTGGTACTAGTACTGGTTCGGTGGAGTTTAGCTACCAAAAATACCCTAACATCAACTGCGCCGCAGATAAGCGGCTTATGATGTACTGTACTCGAGAGAGGCAGCAATTCGGCCTTCATGTGGTAGGTTACCAAGTAGACATCGGCAAGGGCCGGTTGTGGCCGGAAACACTATAAGGTCTATAAGGTCTTGTTCTGTCAGTTGGATTTTACTAGCCGATCATCGAGTATTGTACCGTAAGGATGTATGCTCAAAATTCTGCCTCAGGTACTGAACCTGGCACTAAGCCCCATAACTGACCGTCCGTTTCCGACACATTCAGCCCCAGGATGTTACTGCAGCTATCCACTAACGCGTTGCTGAATACTGTCATTGCAGACCTGTGCTGGTCTTTGACTTCCTCTCCTGCATCCGTAATTTGGTTCTTTGACATCTATACCACTTCATTCAAAAACTTCTTGATCCTAGCGCAGCTCCCTTTCAGTTCAATTACTGCTTTGGTTGTGTAGATCCATCTTGGATGGATCCTCCTCAGGTGCAAGTTGGAGTGCCAGAGGAAACTCATACTCCTCGAAACACACAGTCTCACAATGTTAAGAGTACGGCAACCCCAGATCCTGAAATCAAGACAGCTTCCAAGGCGGTCAATGAATCGCAAACAGGCATAACGCCAGATATTGAAATGCACGATGCACGCTCAGCTCCTGAGCTTGAACAAAAACCACTAGAACCCAGAAGAAACCCCGGCCTCCAATTTCTTGAGTAAGAACTCATCTTTCTTCGTCTTTTGCTTTCTTTTACGTGGGCCTTCGGGTTGTCACTCAATGGCGCAACTGCTCGTGTTCGCAAGTGCTGGAAGGCCTTAGGAGCTTACAAAATCATTCAGTTTTTTAACGTCACCTATTGTGGAACTCGTTCTTGGGACCGGACAGTCCAGGACCAGCTTGACAGCTCACCAAAGTCTACTTTTGGAGTCTCCGCTTCTCGCGGAGAAGGTCGCGGCCTTCGGTGAATCTGGTCCTGTAAGCACATATCCCTTACCCTGGTTACTCTCTGGCAGTAACACTCACCGCTGATATCTCCAAGCGGCGCATTGAGCTTCCCGCGGAAAATGTGGAGGCTTTCGGGTATTTTCTACAGTTTCAGTACACGCGTGACTATTGTACCTCTCACACTGAAACTCACACCGAGCAAGAGACGGTAGTCGGGGAGATTGGCGACAGCGGAGAACAGTTACTGAAACACGCGCGGGTGTATACCTTGGCGGAAAAATTAGGCATCCCTTCACTTAAAGCTCTCGCACATTCGAAGATCCATCGTATCAACAGCACATCCCAAGGAGAAATTGCGTATGCGCGTTATGTATACACAAACACACCTGCTGATGACGTCACGATCCGCAAACCTGTGGCCACCTTTTGGGCTTTGCGAAGCCATGTTTTACGTCATGAGGCTGCGGAGGAATTCAAGAATTTATGCATTGATGTGCCTCAATTCTGCTATGACGTGCTCAGTCTTGTGTTAGACCACAAGGAGAAACGGGCACATGATAGGGCAGAGGCAGAGTCTGGGGTGAAAGGAAGCGGAAGAAAGCGGCTGCGCAGTGGTCTATGATTCCCCACAAGCTGGAGAAGAGCGCATATGTATGGAATGAAACAGGATGCTCGATGAACAAAGCCACTTGGTGTTGCGATGTGCCTCACTTCGACAACTCATAGGCTGCCGGGCTTCTTCATTGTCCAGTTCTTATATTCAAGTGATATTCCGTCAACTTCTGTCGAGAGCGCATATCCTATATTCAAAGTGCCAATATTCATACACGTATTGTTCAATGATGTGACACATCTGTGGTTCAACTGACATGAATACCCGGGCTGGCCATGTTCCAATCAAAGCCCGGCGATTGAAACGGTAGGCAGGATAGGACAGCCTGAAGGTGGAAAGTTTGACAAAGGTACAGAGTGAGCAACTGTCTATGAAGACAAGCTTTCCACCTCTTCGACGGTCTTTGGTGCTGTAGTCAGGTTCTCGAATCCATCTTTCAGGATATGAATGTTATCCTCAATGCGCACACCACCTACACTCCAATATTTCTCCAAGACATCAGTGTTGATATATTTGCTTGTTCCGCTGGACTCGAGGAAAGGTTCGATTATGAAGCGGCAAAAATAGATCTAGACGAGTTAGAAACACAATTTGAGCTGTACCAACGTATGGTCTTGTACTTACGCCTGGCTCTACCGTGATAACCGAACCAGCAGGCAAGCGACCCCTTACACGAAGATACTTGAACATCGTGTCATCATCTTCATAATTCGGGTTGCCTCCAGTATCATGGGTGTCCATACCCAGATAGTGCCCCAATCCATGGGGGAAAAATGCCACGCTGATCCTCTTTTCCATCAGTTCGTCTTCGTGGCCACGAAGAATTCCCAGTTTCTTCAGTCCCTGGATAGCAATGCGGTGGGCATGGATGTGTACGTCCTCCCACTGAACGTCTTCTTTTAGCATCTCAATGCATTCCGTCTGCATCTGCAAGACCAAGTCATATATTTGGCGAGTTTCTAGCGGGAATCTGCCACCCAAAGGAAAGACTCGTGTGATATCAGCACAATATGTGCTATACTCCCCTCCCGCATCTATCAACACGCTTCCTTTTCTCTGGTTGGTGATAGGATCGATCAAGTCAGTGTCATTCTTGCCGTAATGAAGGGTGGCACCATTCTCGCCGCATGCAACGATTGGATGGTATGCTTGTTCGCGTGCACCGTGCGCGATGCATGTCGCTATGAAAGCACCCTCGATCTCGCGCTCATTTGTTGCAGTCTTGGAGGCTTTTATGGCCGCAATATGTGCCTTGGCGGAGATGTCGTTTGCCTTCCTCAGAAGCGCGACCTCATACTCATCCTTGACGACACGAGATGTTCCAATGATACTTTTGAGTAAAGAGGTGTTGACCTCAGAAAACCCATGGAACTCGGTACCCTCGGATATTTGGTCCTCAATCGCAAAAGCGATTACTTTTCCGGGATTGTTCGAGACAATCGAAGATAGTGTAGCGTTCACTGCAGGCGTTGGCAGCACATAGTCAACATCATAACACCTTTGCGCTTCTGCTGCAGACATTGGCAGGCCAGACCAGATCACATCCTGTGGATCAACTGGTGGGATGAAAAGGGTAAGTTCATCAAGATCGATGTTGTATATGAGACAGGAATCTGGCAGTAGACATCCAGATAGATAGAAGAACGGTCGGCGTTGTCTGGTATGAAACGGTTGTCAGCCCTAAAAAGTATAGAAGCTGGATTCCAGTGCTTCCCAGTACCTAAATGGCATGGCCTCGTCATTGTCCTCGATGAGTCGAGTTTTCTGTGCTTCGAGGTAGATAATTCCATGGCGGCCATTTCCATAAGATTGAAGACCTTGGGCCACCCGGCGTGCATGAGCTTTTGCAGGGTATTTACCTGCCAGGATTGATTCCAGGGAAGTCATGTTGGCTCTAATTGTGGTAGTGGTTTCCGTCAGGTTGAGATTTGTAGGAGGGCTGTGAGTCAGAAAAAGGCCCAACCGAAGGGCGGGGGACCATTTTGCGGGGTTCGTCTAAGGCATTAAACAGCCGTCGTCTTTGGATTTACACAGCCACAAACGAGATTGCTTGGAACTCTACATCAAATTTAACGTGTTGTCGGGAGCTTCTGGAGATTTTGATTGCCCGATATATTAGCAGAGCGCCTTTCGCTCTGACTATCCACGTCTTCAATGTTTCTTCTCAGGGGGAAAGAATATGAGCATGATGGTTCTAAGAGAAACATGTAAACCCTTATCTGAAAGCATCGCTTCCTTTACTAGCAGCAATAGTTACATCTTCATAATCCAACTCCCATTTATCGATATCCGCAAACTTCTGTGCCTGCACTCTCAACTCTTCGCTGAGATACCTTGCTTTGAGCGGTTCGGATCCCGATGGCATACTTGAGTGATCGGCTTGTGAACCGGGCGGTGACGATAGAGGCGAGGACAAAGGTGACGAAGAAGGTGACGAGAAAGGTGACAAAGGACCCTCCTGAGATGCATGGGTAGTTGCACAGGGTAGCCGGTCAGCCCCCAGTTTTGTCTTCTCGTTGTTTTGAGTTTGACCACGATTCCTCTTTCTTGACTCAGCCATGACATGTGTTGGCTGCTCTTTTGGGGGGTTATCATAGGGTTGTGGAGGACCCGGCTTGCCAATGTGTCTTCGAGGTGCCCGGGTGGCCTTCGCTGGTGGGAGGTCACTCTCATGATGCTCCATTTCGGAACAGCTATCATCACCCAGCCTGCTTTGTGCCTCTAGATTGGGACCCCAGCATTGGCGCCGGATTTTGAATCTCCGAGGTAGCAATTCCTTCTGGAGGGCCACCGTAGATAAACTCGTGCCCACGTTGCTTCGCTCAGCTGGAATTCCCAGCGCGATTGTGGAAACAGCTAGAGGCTCTTCGGCATAGATCAGCGAAGGCGTAATTGTGGGGCTCATGGAGGGACTGCTGCTCATAGGTGGCGCCATTGTTGTGCTCGTGGCCTCAGGAGACACGAGAGGCTGGGATAAGTGTATTAGGGTCACATCTTGCTGCCCCGGTATCATAGTAGGAGGCGAGTGCCGCACTTGTTGCGGACGTGGTGCAGAACAATTATTCCCCGACGAAGGTGTACGCTTGCGCTGTTTGCTGCTGGAAGGCGATGGTAGGCCTGGTGACGACGATGCGGCGTGCCCCGCGATGAGTGACTTCCCCCTTGATATATCCAGGGGTGTGGACTCGTCCTCAGGACTTAGTCCTCCAAGAAAGTCCTCATCGTCCAGATCTGAAGAATCGTCATTCGCTTGCATCATATGGAGAATGCTAGGTTGCCGTGGTCGTCTTCTGAAATTGCTTAATATCGAACTCTCGTAAGCAGGAGTGCCTGGAATCCTCGAGTTCCCATCACCTTTCCGACCGACGATGGAGAGAGTAGATGAGTATCCACGAGCCCTTGTGACTGGACGACTGCTACCCGCTTCACGCTCTTCCAGGGGTGATGATTCAATCGCATAATCATGGCATTTGACTACAGGTGTCTGGTCTTTTTGATGCGGCGCGAAATCAGACGCTGGGCGCTGTGTCATCCGGAAGACAGCCGGCGATTCACAGCTTGAGCCATTTGGATTATGCTTCGTCGACCCGGCATTGTCCGTGACACGTTGAAGATCTCTGTTCCCAGTCTTCGAAATTCCAAGTGTCGGTCGATTACGCTTCGTAGGGGGTCGCGGCATGTTTTTGTCGGACGGTAGACTTTTCAGAAAGCCGGATATACGGGCTAGGCCTTCGTAGTCACTTGTCGATTCAGTCAGAATCTAGGACTTATACTGGTGACGGCAGTAGGTTGGTGCAAAGCGAAGGATTAAATGCGGTTTAAATCCCTGCCTGATAGATAAGAGCGCGACGTGCTGGGAACGCGTACGCGTGCAACAGATCTTAAGCAATCAGGCTTTTGAAGACACAGGACCAAAGCTGATGAGATCAAACTTACCGTTTCTCTTCAGGAAGAGCTTTTAGATGTGCTTCTAATAGAAATACATACACCGTGCCATAATATGTTTATGCTTTGTGTAGCTGTATTATAGTTGCATGTATTATAGTTGTACTGCTTTTTAGTATTGTATGGCACAAAAACTACTCACCGCCTGAAATTATTATATAATCCCTATATCATCTTAGCTATATATTTGTAAGGGCTTTATATTTTATATAATCTTGTTATAAACTATATATTATATGATTGGTAAATACTTACAAAATACTTGTTAGATAATTCTTGAGTAGTTATGCAGACTAAATACTTAGAAGGTGCTTAAAGATCTATCATTTACATAAAAACAGTATAATCAAAAATTCTTTACATGTGACGGTTGGTGAAATATAGACGAGGATGATTGTTGTTGTATTGTAACTAACTATGCTGGGCTACATACAAATGGTCCTGAAGGCGGTATGGTAGGCGGTGTCTGTCTGCCCACCTCTCTACCATCTGCACCGTCGGTGACATTACATATATAATATTAGGATAGTATAGAAGTTGTATAACATATTTAGATGGTAAGAAGTTTTTGGACTGTATAACAGTAAAAAGTGATATAGCTGACTTGGATCTTTGATTACCTACTTATAGTGGGAGGATATGAATATACTGTAAAACCTCGTTATAACGATTATATTGGGAATGGCCTCTATAATTGTTATGTACCAATTATTGTAACACTTTTACGTGTATACCAAGTAGACACGTAACTGTGAATATATATATTAACTCAGTTTCAAGGATCTGCCTGGGCTTTTATCTATTTAGGTAATTTTTGACCTTGTTTCAATAATATTTGTATAGACAACTGTTCACATTTTCCCGATAATCATTATAAGGTGACGCGGCGATAGTTGCATGGGAGAACTACATTTTGTTGTTCGAAAGAATTATTTTATGTGGAAAATTGTCTTACCGAGGACAGTTATGATGAGGTCTTACCTTACAGTAAGAATGAGCGGGGGGGGCCTTTGCCCCCATGCGGTAAGTCGCCGGCCTCAGCCTACTGTGTACAGCATGGAGCT